TCTCACATGAGAACGATCGTCTTCCAGTGGATCTCAGATCTATCCGCAGATACTGACTTGTTCTACAGATACATAAGCATGACAATCCATCTCAACAAATTTTCATTAAATGTCATTCGATATAATGGTTTCAGCAGCCCCTTCATGCGGTTTCTGAGCCGACTGCCCCATGCCAGTCTGGCAGGCCCCTACTTTCCATTTGCCTGAAAAGGCATCACTTTTAACCAGGAACCCGTCTGATTTAGCCATTTTGGGTTCTGCCATGTGACACTGTGGATTTTAATAGGGATGGAAAGTTCCTGTCTATTGTGGGACCGCTGGAACACTTTCCATGCTTTTACACAAATTAGAGTGGCCGTGCCCAAATATCACCCTGTATAGGATTAGATTAACCCCATGAGGGTAAAGAGAGTCGAACCCGTACTCACATCGTTTCACCTTGCTGGTACGCTGGAATATTCTGACGTTGTTGCATGCAAAGTGCGCAATAATCAGATATCAGGATTGATAATGGCGTTTGGCTCCTCCGTGTTATTGATCTGTTGTTCACTTAAGTGCATTACCAAATCTATAATGTGAGTATTGATCAGGTAATAGCTTAATTGTTTTTTTATTCATAACGTTGGTTTAGGACATTGAGTCTGTCCAAATTCAACTACCCATTGTCTGATCATGCAGCAAAGTCAAAACTCTTCCCTACACACGAGAGCTGCAGCATCGCATTCCTCTAACTGCCCCCCTGCAGTTTAAACGAATGTTTATTTAGATGGAACAGCTTATCAACCAATACTTTTAAGTCTGCTCTTTCTGAGGCTGGCAAGACTCCAACTCCCAGCAAGCACTGCTCCCACAAACCACAGGCAAAGCTGCTTTGTCTCTGCTGTGGCTTGTGTGACTCCTTTTTGGAGTGTGATCCTCTCACTTTCTTTCTCCCTCTCAGAGCGGTGGGGGGAAAGCGGGAGACGGGAGTGCAGAGCTCTCATAATGAGCAGCAAAAAAAAAGGCCATTCATGCTAAGATCAGAGCAATTAGCTCCATAGTCTGAAAAGTAGAGGAACACAGAAGTGTGTTAATGAATGGTTTGTGCGGCACAGTGTTTGTGTGGGTGTACTTTCTGCCATCTACAGAGAACAAAGAAATTATGTCTCATGTGAAAGGAGGGCATTGTTTGTGTCGACCACCGTGACCTTTATTAATCTGCAAAATAAAATATTAACCATTCAAAGCATTTTAAAAATTCTGCAGCCTGCATTAAACATTCTCCTTTTCTGAAAGATGACGTATTTTACACTTGGGGCTTCTGTTAGCTGGAAACGTGGTTAGAGATGATTAATACAGAATACAGTGTGTCCATGCGGCGTGTTCTCCACTGAGCAGGCAGGCTGCGTAAACGACGCCGTGCACAAAAAGACATCACCGGTCAGCTGGAGGTGAAGAATGAGTTTAATCAGGCACCACTCAGATTAATTGACATTTATTGCAGCCTGAATTGAATCAACATTGATATTCATTTCGCTCACATTGTTACAGTTACGATCTTCCATCTATCAGTGTCGTCATCCTTTCCCTCCAGCTGTGTTCTTTAGCTTGTGACCAGGTCTAAAGTCACAAATAACCATTTAGATCTGTCATCCAGAGGGAATACATATGTGGTTTATTTGCTCTCTGTCCTGAGGAAAGTGTTCAAATAGGCTAGAGGTTTTTTTCTTCCAGAAGAAAGTATAATACAGGTTTGACTGATTAAAATGAGAAGAATGTGACGGATAAGTGGATTTACTTAAGCGGTGCTTGCAGTGAGACACTTGCTAATCTATGAAAGGGGGACGTAGATGAATTGGGTGCGAATATCTCCCCTCGGCCTCTGCAGAAGCTGCTTAGGGGCGAGTGAGACGAGGCAGAGTGTGGTTAGATCATGACATGAGATTTCAAAAGCTGATTGAGGTTGGAAGTTTTGAAGAGTTGAGAGAATCCTCTTGAGAGAATTCATCTAGTTTTCTACGTGCCATCGGCAGCTCTCTCTTTTTCATGCTTGACATTTCAGTTCTTTCTTCTCTCACCACACAACACTTTGCCCACTTTTCTTCTTAGTCCTTGTGTTTCCTCTCCCTCTTTTCAAGCTTTCCTTTATGGCAGTGGATTTGGTGCAGTTGTATAATATCAGATTGAGGATATTAGGTTTTAGCTTGGAAAAACATTATTTCTTTTCAGCCAGCAAACCTTTGGACTCGCTTGGACGGACGGTATGAAATTCAAGTTTTAGATCAGAGAGTATGAAACTTCCTACTCTCAGATCTGAGAAGCATCTGCAATGGAAGTCTGATCAAACATCAGCCTTTAATAGTCTCCCTCTCGTCTGGTGGATTTAACATTTTCAATCTGATACTTCTCACATTTCCTTTTCATTTGTGTATCTTAGCTTTAGCTTCTGTCCACCCTTGGGGTGTGAAAGGATTCAGCAGCACTGCGTTTGTTCTGTTTCCTATCAGGTGTGAATTATTCGTCAGGCAGAGCGTTATCATTCGCAAAGCTCCAGATAGCTTTGAAGTCAAAGCTAGGATATGAAGATAACGGTGTTGCTTCAGGGAGGCGCAGATATATAACCACAGCTGTTTTGAAGAGGTTTCTCTCACAGAAATAAGTTATTTTTTTCTTTCTATGAGAAATTAACAATAAGTATTGTGCTCAAATGGATCCGTTCTGGATCAGTTCAAAGTTCCTTAGTTCCTTTGTGCATTTTCTGTCCCAAAGAGTAAGTAGAGATCTGGTTCAAAACAGGAATCCAACATCTGCTTGAATGGAAGACCAACATCCTTCCTACGGAATTGAGCTTTATTTAAGCATTAGTTGAAAATCAACGGAAACAGGTTTTTTTTTGTGTTGTCATTGTTTTCCGAATAACAAATAACAGCATAGTAAATGAAAATAAACCAGCTTGGGAGGAAGTATAACATCCTCGCTCAAGAAAGTCTTTGGATGTCTGACCCACTCTTAAATTTGCCCTTTACCCTTAATCCGACATGGCAGCGTGACAGCAACTTCAGACGCTGTCTCTTGTCTGCTCTTGTCCACATATCCAAAAGCCAGACAGGGAGGTCTTCCCCTTCGCCCCTGATCCCCACCCTCAATACCCGCAGGGTGCAGCGTGACCCATACAGGCACCCGACCGGAAGGCTCGGCGCTGTCCTCCAATGTGCACATGACCTCATTAGGCCCGCCCCTCCCTCTAACTTGATTTACAGTATAGTACGATATCCGTCCAACCTATTGACCCTAATAAGATAAAAAGCACAACCCCCCCCCCCCCCCCAACATCCTAAGCATGACCTACTTAACGTGTTCAAACGTTCAAATGTTCCCCAACATACACAAACAGTTACACACTGCAGTTATTTGGTTCAACTTAAATCTCCAATTGCATCTCTTGAATGGTGCCATTCAACAAATGTACAGATAACGGATACATCTATTGGTAAAAAGTCAAAAGTAACATATTCTCCACTGACAATAGACAGCAGATACATGGATAATTATCCACAAGACAAAAGGTCAAAATCACTCAGAAATCAGGAAAACCATCCAACTGACTGTTGAAAGTGCCTTCAGCATCGACAGCAGCAGGCAAAAGGCCCAGCAGAGGTCCTGCGCCAAGCTCGGGAAGTAAAAGCTTCCTCAGGACGGCTCCCAAAAACAGAAACGTAATGAAAAGCTAGATTAGACTGGATTGATTAAAAAAATTCCTCAAGTGTATCAATACCCTTCGAAAGACCCCGAACTGGAGTAATGTGATCTCTTGTGGTCGTGGGTTTGATTCCAGCTGTGAGTTCCTGGGTAGACCACACGAGAACATGACCGTGGTCCGATCCAGCCAACACGATGCCATGTGCCGTTTGATCTCTGGCTGTGAAATGACAGGGCGGCGGTGACGATGGAGCAATGATGGGTAACATTGTAACACTGTAACATGAAGCAGTTATTGAGACGCTTGGAACACGATAGTTTGCGGACGGTCTCAGCGGGATTTCGCTTTAAGTACCGTGTGTATCGACACTCTTTTCTTCGGCTTTTCAGAGGTAACCACAGTAGAAACGTTGCCAACCGGTTTATTAAATGAGGATTTTAATGACAATTGCTCTTTGGGGGGGGAAAAGGGAATTGGCGAGTAGGAGAATTGTGCCAAGTGGAAAGACTTCGCAGTCCTGGCACAGACTGCATGCACGCGGGGGCGTATGCATCAGTGTGTGTGTTCTTCAGTGCTATTTCTGTGTGTATGTGTGGGTTAAGGTGATGTCGAGAGCGCTCCAGATTTTGGTTGGCCAAGTGTTAGCATCGCATGCAGTGTGAAAGTTAATGTAGAGCAGGGAGTTTCAGAATGAGGTCTATGTCTATGAATATTTAATCAAAAGACAAACGACATGGAGCCAAGTGAGACAAACGCTGATGAAACTGAGCTGGTGCAGCTTTCATAGCTCATGCGGTGTGTATCCTCGAGGAGATATGCATTTAATTATCACCGATTGTTTCGTTTTTGTCAAATTTTTCTTGGGTCAGTGAGCATGAGGTGTTATGTGATACTTGTTCATATTTGCAGAGAAAGAGAATTAGCTTCTGTCCACCCTTGGGGAGTGAAAGGATTCAGTGTCTGGATAACGGAGACTTTCAGAAAGGTGGTTGCTCAATGGCAAATGGGGCTTAAACTCGAGTGGACCAACTGGCAACCTCGACCACCTGGCCGAAATTGTTGAACCCGCAAATCGGGCCACAGCTCAACCATCTGTCTGGATTTAACCTAATTAATACTGTACACAAACAGTCACAACACACTGATTTAGGCTATGAAATTACACTTTTGATTACAGATGATAGCACATTTGTTAGTCAGGACATTACATTCTGTGGTAAATGTATTCTACTCCACTGTATGTCCCCATTAAATCCAGAAGCTGCCTGCTTTGAAGAATGCACATAACCAACACAACCATTTCTGTCATTTTGCTTTTTAGTTGGGACGAGAGCAGTTCCATCAGCAGTGGTTTGAGCGACGGCTCAGACAACCTCAGCTCTGAAGAGTTCAACACGAGTCCCACTCTCAACTCCCTTCCGACCACACCCATCGGCTCCCGCAGAAATTCAGCCATTGTGGTAAGTAACGCACACAAATTACACGCAACAGGCAGCAGGACGTGGGCCTCAGAGACAAAGCCTGATTAAGTATTCTATGCACACCCATGATGTGTATTCCATCTAAAGCTGTCGATGGTCCATATAACACACACCCACACGTTCACTCTCAGACACACACACAGTGCATGCTGCTGCATGCTTTTTAAAAATAATAGCTGAACTGTTAATAGTAATCGGGTTTATTTTTAAAAAAATAATAGAAATCATTGTTCTTCAATGATCTACACCAATCCATACAAACAACAGTTTTATTGTTGCTGCTTCAAAGGTATTGGACTTTTCAGTTCAGGCTCTGATTGAGTCAGAAGCGCTTCCCGGACCAGGACTTCCCTTCCCTGACATGTCTGATCCGATTGGAGTGCACTGAATCTGTGGTCTTTATCATTTTCTGTGGGCATGGGAGCATTTGAAACGTATGACCTCCGTGCTCCCAAAATCTTGTCTGCAGTTCTGCTTGAGGTCCATATTTAGCTGCATGGGCTATAGACAGTGTGTGTATGTTGGTATTTTCCCAGAAAGTCTGATGTAGGTTACACCTCCGTAATGTGGTTAAGGCGGCGAATGTAGTGGGCTACCAGAGAAAGAGAGCCAACGAGAGATGCAGGGAGTTAGCGAGAGAGAGAGAGGGAATCAGCGTAACCATGGCAACCAAAGAGCAGGGATGCTGAGAGTGCTAGTCTTTGTCTTCGCCTGTATATTGAAGGACAGGTCTAGAACAGCCATCTGCACACACACACACACACACACACACACACAGCCATCTGCAGTCCTGCATCCGGGCCAGCGAGCCGCAAAGAACGGGGGCCCCTCCCTCCCCGCCTGTAGTTGCAGGAGTCATAGCAACCATTACCCCCCACCCCCCCCCCCCCCCGCGGCCCCATGGGAATATTATCTTTGGGACCGAACCTCACTTTTTAAATCCCCCCAAAAACCATGGGCTCCTTCCCCCGGAGATCTTTATAAAGCCCATTTCCTTTATTGGTTTGTCTTTGTTTTTGTATCATGAAGCCACTCCACTGACTCCCTTCACTCCTGTTGATTTTAATTCCCTCAAAGGCAGCTCTGATTTTACATGCTTCCTTATCTCTCCCACGTATTGCATAATATACTCAATATGGATGTGAGGGTGGAGGACTGATGGGGGCACAAAGAAGACATGGTTGAGAGAAAGAGAGAATCAAAGCAAGAATGAGGTGTGTGTGTGTGTGTGTGTGTGTGTGTGTGTAGGTGGTACAAACCCCCAGATTTCCTCATTTCCACATGGAGGTGGACCTAATAATTAAGAAAATCCACCTTGGTTTTGCAAGTTTGTGTGTGTGGGTGCGTGTGCGTACGTATGTCCCTGTATTTTCGTGTTATTATGTTTTGTCACGGCTATCTGGACAGATGTGCATCTCTTCACCGCCTATTTCAATAATCAGGGAATCTGTGAGGATATTACAATGTTTTATCTGGTCACACGCACATAAACTCACCCGTACCTCCCCCTCATGGGATGTGAACCTGCACATGGGGTCTATTCTTTTTAATAAAAAGAGGAATTCAGCATTGGAGTCCTCATGAGAATCGTTGGGTGCAATGTCCCACACACACACACACGCACGCACGCACGCACACACCTTCACACAGCACCTGGTTCTGTCAGTGTCAGTGTCCCACGGGAGAGACATAGAATACATAGAAGACCATGTCTAGGTGATAACTTTACATTTGTGCATTCGGCAGTTTCTTTTATTTTTTGGAGTGTTTTTATTTCTTTTTTTATTAACATAAAACACACAAAAGCTTTGTTTCTCTCTCATTACCGATTAGCAGTACTTTACTGACATGATGCTTTCTCTTTTAGTTTTTTTAAATGTTCTTTGCCTTTTATGGAGCCAAAACATACTTAGATGCATGTCCTCAGATTTAGATAAGCATGTAAAACCATGCCTAGAAAGCAAACAACGTACTATAGACGTAAAAATAGTTTCTTGAAATCAGATCTCACACCATTTTTCCTACATTTTCCTAACAGCCTTTCTAAGCTTTTGTTGTTCTTTCTCCTTTTAGATGCGTACGGACGCCGAGAAGAGATCTCTGGTGGAGAGTGGTCTGTCATGGGAGAATGAGGAGACCAAACCCGTCCGAAAGAGCCAGGGCGGCGGTGTCTACGATACAGGAAGTCTCAAGTCCGAATCGGCCAATAAATGGAAAAAGACGCGAACGCAGGTGGGGAGGCTGGAGGGCGGGAAAGGCGAGCTGAAGAAGCCTCAGACCCTGGGTCAAGGGAACGTGTTGAAGAAAGGAAGGAACCCACCCGTTGGAGTCACCTCGCCGATAACACACACCTCTCAGAGTGGGCTGAGAGTGGCAGGTGAGAGGAAACACACACACACACACACACACACACACACACAGTGAGGTGTAATATTTATCCACACTTGAGTTGGTTTCATAACCTGAGCAGACTGACACATTAACTTAATATTCTCTCTCTGGGACGGCCTCACACCCACCCACAGACACAATCTCTGTCTTTGTCCCACACATTCATCCACAGCTGCAGCCCACCCTCTGCGCCTTTAGAAAGTGGTGCCATGTATCAAACGCCCATCGCCACCCACTCCCTTCCTGCCGGCCAACCACACACACACACACACACACACACACACACACACACACACACACACACACACGTACAGACACTGAGTAACAGTGTTGTTTTTTTTCTTCCTATTGGTTCAGCCTTTCCTATGCAAGCTTTATTTTTGTGCCGGACAGAGAGAATTTATAGCCCCTTAAATAAAGGCCTTGTACCCAAAACAACTGGAGCAGAGACTGTGTTTGCAATGGAGTGCGGACGCGTTTGAGATTGTGCCAGCCTTTCATAGTGTTACCCATCACACTTAAGCACACACACACACTTCCACACAATGACCACAATAGTGACAATTGTGCAGCTGCTTTATAAGCACACCATCAGTGTGCCATTTACGTACGCACTCACACACACACGGGCATACAGACATATATGGACAACCAAAACAAAAGGATATTGGTTGTGTCTGTGCAAACACCCCTGTGTCTGTTTGCATGGACAGCTGTTGAAATGACAGATACGCCAAACAAGCATGTTGAACAAGCCTGTGACCTCTGTGCCGGGCAGTTATTGTTATTGATACGAGCGGTATGAATTTGCTATTAGGTCTATAAAGTTTGCCACAGTGTTTGAGACCAATGAAATGATCAGCAGTGGGGAGGAAGCTCATGAATTTCACCACAAGAATCAGACATTCTTGGGCAGTTGGATGGTCTCTGTCGTTCTCGCTGGAGATCAGTTGATTGCTGAAGATATATGTGGATCATTCCATAATTCTTAATACCACAGAAGGCCTTAAATAGAAAAATACTTGGGGAAGGGGAATACAAATGAGCCCCTCCTTCGCGGAAAGGCCTTCCCTGCCTTCCTGTGTGTTTTCAGACGTCCATCTCTTCAGATATCTTGCCACCGTGTCAAGCTGTGAGCTCTACTGTCTCAACAGCCGGTGTCAGTAAATCAGCCTTTTTTTTATGTATGTCAAAGTGACTCCGCACGTCTGGATCTTGTCGATGTGTGTGTGTTCCCCGTTCATTGCTGTGTCAGTGTGTGTGTGTGTGTCTGCTGCTTAATGTTCTTGAAATGTGCAATGTTGCGGTTTTACAATGGACTGACTTTATGACTTGACAAGTAAACCCAATTTTCACATTTACAAAAGAACTACGAGCATAATGTGTTGTCAGTGTCACATTCCAATAAGATCCAATCACTGAGAACTGAGTGTGTGGTACATGTGTCTTTTGCGGGCTTTTTCGATACTCTTAAGTGACTCCAGATGTCCCGAGGCAGCACGCCGGTGGGTCCCATTCAACAGCAGTTCATTAAGTCTATTAATGCCTCGTATATAAACCTCACATAACAACTCCCATTAGATAAAAATTAAAAGTGTGGGTAGTGTGGGCTCGCACTTGTGTGGGTGGTGCATACAGTCCACATGTGTCCAACCGTTTTTTGTTCTCATAATAACTTTCGAACAAGTCCGGTTCATTTGCGGTTAAATGCACAGATGGTACCAAACTTGCATGATTTACCTTCAATCCTCATTCATCTCTCACTCTGCGCTCTTTGCCCTGAGAGGTTTCAAGAGGGGATAAACTCACTTATACTTATACACCAGTTTTCCACGAGTCATTCCGCACATGTTAGTCTAAGCACTGGGTACTCACTGGAAAGGCTGATTTTACTTCATCCGGATGGAAAAGAGGAGCAACCGTGTGCATGACGATGAAGCTGAGAGTCTGGTCTACACACCGTCTGCTCAGACAGGGATTTGTCTTTATCAGCAGACAGGCAGACCTTGTAGGTGGTCAGATAAGATATCGTGTCCTAATAGGGCTTGGTTAGTCCCACAGAAACTGTTCAAGGTACTCATCAGTCACACCCCCCCCTCCTCTGTGCCTCTCTAGGTACCGTAAAGTCAGATGGCAAGCCAGTGGATAAGTCTCGGTTAGCGGTGAAGGCCTCTGGCCTCCAGCGCTCCTCCTCCGATGCCGGTAAAGAGCTGAGAAATGACGGCGGCGCTGGTGAGCGCAAACCTCCGTCCGGCCTCGTCAGGCCCTCGACTGGTGGAAACTTTGGCTTCAAGAAGCCTGCCACAGCCACCAATAATGGCACAAACAATGCAGGTACGCCCGTACCCGGCTCTGCAACTGTAGGGAAGATTCCCAAAACCTCCGGCATTCCTGTCAAACCAGCGGCTGGCGGCGGCGGACGGAAGACTAGTCTTGACGTTTCAACCAGCGACCAGAGTGGTTTTCTGTCTCCAAATGCCAGGACCTCCCTTCAGTACCGCTCTCTGCCTCGCCCGGCAAAGACGAGCACCCTGACTCTGACCCGACCGAGCTCAGCTCGCCCGGTGAGCAGTACCATGGACTCTGGCTTGGGGCATACCAAACCACCGCAGGGTAGACTCCGAGAGCCCGCCTCAGGCCTCGGTTCTGGGCTGAGTAAGGCAGGCGGCCGTGGGATCCCAAGTCCCAGTCCGGTCAATCAGACAGACAGAGAGAAAGAGAAGGAGAGGGCCAAAGCCAAAGCTGTGGTGTCTGACTCTGAGTGTGGAGGTGGGCCCCTGAAGGGCAGCCCTGCTCAGACCCCTTCAGAGAACGGAGGGAAGCTGCAGGGGCTGAGACCTCCCAGCAGTGCCAAGGGCGTGGATCTGCACTCCAGCAACACACCCAGGTACAAATACCACCAGGAAAATACGTTACAGTGCTTTTCACAAACAAAACAAAGCATTGAAATGTATTTGACCCAACATTGTTCTTCTCTTTAGGTTAACAGGAATGCGCAGCCTTGCAAAACCTCCGTCCATGGCCCAGCTCAACAAGCTGAACTCAAACAGCCTAGAGGTGGGAGTTCAGAACTCCCTGCCACCCAAGATACCTCCCTACTCTAAGCTCCAGGACCTGGCCAGCTCGGCCGGCAGCTCCAGTGGCCCCGGCCTGACCCCAAGCCCCGCGCCTTTGCTCAATGTCAACTCTTCGGCCTGCTTCTCCAGCTCAGGGAGCGGTTTGGGACCCGGGCAGGTCTCTTCTCTGGAGGTGCAGGGAAGCCGCGGAAGCAGCTCTCCCCTCCTCTACCCTCGTCTGTCCGGGCTGCATCGCAGCATGGAGTCGCTGCCGCTCCAGATGAGTCTCGCCCCGGAGCCCCAAGAGAGGGAGAAGGCGAGGGAGAGGGAGACCTTGGTGAGGGGCTACACCACCTTAGAGTCTCGCCATAAAGAAAGACAGGAAGACAGAGGGCCTCCCACCAGCTGGAGCTCCGGCAGTAAAGTCTCCTTTTCTCACGCGGACAGGTGAGATTCAATAACCCTCCACTTTTTGTTTATTTAAACCCAATCACATCACCCTGATCTACACATCTAAAACAGATGTTTCCACGTTCACGTTTTGTAACACTGCTATGTGACTCCACCTACTGGTATGCTAATGGTCTGCAACTCATTATTCGTTGTTCAGGGAAGGAAGGAGTGATCAGGGAAATCCTTTGATATACAATTCACTCTGTTCTATGCTACAATCATGCCTTTACCTCCCATTATTGAGTGGGGGCATGGAAAGGGGATTTGATTGGTATGGAGAAGGTATTGAACCATTTGTTTAGCGCAGACAGACACATTTTTTGATAGCACATGAACTATTCAGAACTTAGAAGACAAGATAATATTTTCCCAAAATGAAAGCACAGTCCGAAGGAGATGTCTGAGTTTTAAAGGGTATACTGTGCCGGCTGTTCTTTAATAACTCCTTGCAGCCCTGGTTGAATCTAAATGTAATTGTTTAATCTCCACAGTTCTCAGAGAGACAGAAACACACTGCCAAGAAAAGGTTTAAGGTAAGTGGAAACACGTCCAGCTCCACACACACTTCTTGTTCTTATACTTTACATGTTCTAAACACAGATGTATTACTAGAGAGAATGAGATAATCTGTTGAAAATAGTCTACCTTGCAATAACAATTTCTGTTTAAGATGTCCTCAGGTGACAAACAAATTCTTCTTCAAAACCAAAAAAAAATATTTTTATAATGGTTTAATTCGACTTTTGTGGAATATCATTTCACATGATGTTAAATGTACCAACAACATTTCCCTGTACATGACCTTTAACACAACATATCTATAGTGACTGTGAATGTATTTGTTTACTATTAACCGCCCTGGCTTTGCTGTGTGTTTGTGCAGCTTCAGTGGGGCCTGCCCGGTCGAGGAGGAAGGGAAGGAGAAAGGAGACAGGAGACACTCTCACACTATTCTTAGTATGACAGATTCACTCACTCTTCCCCTGCTGTCCTCACCAACCTCCTTACCCCGCACCTCTAAAGCCAGTATGGGTGAGCTCAAACCCACGGCCACGCACTTGTGACACAGCACTACGCTAATGATGTATTTCGTGGATGACATCTCTCTCCCTCCCTCCTGTGACCCCCAACCCCTCCTTCTCTGCTCGCTCACCAGTACGCAGCCCCATCGGCGGCCCTCCGCGGATGACTCGCTCCAACAGCATCCCGACGCACGATGCCTCTCTCGAGTTGTCTCCGGTGGGCAGCACGCTGTCGTTGTCGGAGCGCCCTCGCAGCATGGGGATGATTCGCTCCGGGTCGTTCAGGGACAGGGAGCCCGACGAGGGTGAGCCCCCCCGCCCCCCCGGAGTATTTCAATATAATTCGTATGGATGTTCTGTTGTGTAACTTAGTTGCAACATCTTTTCTCTTTTCAGTTCATGGGTCTGTTCTTTCTCTGGCGTCTAACGCGTCATCAAGCTACTCCTCGGTGAGTGTGGGCAGCATGCAGACTCAGGTAGCTACACTGTGTGTCATGTGGTGCATTTGTGTTTGAGTGGATGTAAATGTCTGTCTGCACAGTTGTGCTTTACTCTCATTTCAAACTCTAAAAAGAGACAAGACTTTCTCCCGAAGTATTCCCGATACACGGTATCGTGTGAGCCTCTTCTTCTCTCTACTCCTCTCCCTTTTGTCTTATCTAACATCTTCACTTGTATTCCTGCTGCTTCCAAAGGCTGAGGAGAGGATTCAGGGAGAGGTAAGTGTATTCTTTCCTGCTCTTTCTTCCTTCCTGTCTCTGTTTCCGACCTTCCATCCACCACCACCATCTCTGCTGTCCGTAGGAGGAAAAGCCAAGTCATTTATTTCATGAGCAACATCCGATCTAAGTCATTTGTTTCATGTCAGCCATTGTCAGCTTAAGTAACTTTGTTTGATTTCCGGTGTAACATTTTTTTTTGTTTTTCCTCACAGCAAATCCGTAAACTGAGGAGGGAGCTGGAATCGTCGCAGGAGAAGGTGTCTAATCTGACGACGCAGCTGACAGCAAACGTATGTAGTGGTTTTCCGTTTTTACTGATCATCTCATTATATTAAGCATCATAAGCAGTTTTTTAAGAACATTTTGAATGTCTTATATTTTCCGCACGATAAGTATATTTTAAATAACAAAATCAAACGGCTTCCAACCGTTTAAAAAGGAACATTTCAGAAAAATCTGAAAAACAGTTGAATGAGAAAGGTTCTTCCAACCACATCGAATCGGTTTTACGGCTTTTGCCATAATTAAAACTACAATGTCCAGCCTTTCACCCTCAGGCTGCACATTTGTAGTTGATACTTATAAAAGACAAACCCAGTATAGACATCATGTGTGCAAATGAATAAGAGCCCTAAACTGTTTATTATTTCATTTCATCCTAATACATGTAAAAACTGAATTGCCTGACACATTACACTTATTCATATTATGTTTGTGTGCCAGTCAATACAAACCTCACTCACAAACGCTTTATTTCTCACACAAGCCAAGATTTGTAACCTTGAGATGAAATAGTAAGGAGACGCATGGAGAGAGATTTAAAACCTAAGCCACGGAATATCAAACATAGATCAATTCTGTGCCGTATCAGCACATTTCTCATCCATGTGGGGCCTGAATAATAATAACCTTCTCCTGAACCTCTTACCGAGCCACTTAGCTTTGGCACTCTCTCACACACACACACTAACACTCACACACAGTAGAAATCGTGCCTTTTCTCTCCAGTCTACAAGGTTGTTTCCATGCGCTTCTATTAGTCCAAGTTCACCAATTATTCATGGTTTCATGAAGTACACGTAAATGAGATGTTTCGCTTGTGTGTTTGTGTGTGTACTCTTTGACTTTATTATGCATGCGATGTATGTGAAGCATGTTTATGTGCTCCATTAATGACTAAAATACAGTATAGTATCATAAAGTATCATCCTGAAATATGAAGAATCAGACTATATTTTACGTTGCATGAAAAGGGCAAAAAGCTGCTTTCCGTTTTTGCTCAGGTGTGTGAGAGATTAGGGAGGCAGAGAATGTCCCACAGAGGACATTCTGGTCAGCCTTTTTGTGTTATTCATCCTCTTATCATCTCCCAAATGAGTGATAAATGGGCAGTGGAAACCTATGGAAGCTGTTCCTGTGATTTCATAATATTACATACATAAATATTATACATGAATAATACTTTCCTGTTAGTTTGCTACTTGAAAACCTGAAATATTGCTTCTGTATTCTTTTTTTCCCCCAAACAGGCAAATCTGGTGGCTGCCTTTGAGCAAAGTTTGCAACTGATGACTACCCGGCTGCAGAGTCTGTCAATAACCCAGGAGCAGAAGGTAACGCGACATCCACACTTTCAAACACAAACAATCACAGACCTGAATTCCTGCTGCCTTGCAGTCTGATGAGCAGTCTGCAAAGAGCAGGCAGCATTCTGCTAACATGGAGTGGTCTCTTATCCCAGCCTGCGGTGAAGAGCTGAATGTAGGTTAGAGGGCAAAGCTGCAGAGCCACAGGGTGACTTGCTGTGGGAGGAGGACAGACGATCAATGGAAAACAACGTCGCTTTAGGCTGAGTGAAATGTGCACGGCAGCCGCATGCACGCGTACTCGCACCGAACATTCCTGCATTCTCTGGCTTTTGGATCTGCTTTTGCTCTGCCGGAGGCAGCGTTCAGCGCTCAGTGTTGGGCATTAACGTGAGGAGTCTCTCCCCGCACTTCATGCCTTGCTGCTCTCACTGAAAGGTCCATCTAGACCACTCCAGAAAAGCCTTTGTTGTTTGAGCCAGCGCATTGACCTGTGCAGCTCGCCCTGGAGCGCCGGCTCTTTAACCTCGAGTAGATCGACCGGGCGACTCCTATTCAGAGCAGAGTGGGATCGACTCACATGGACGCACAGAGTAAGCGGCACAGAGAGGCTCCGCTGTTCTGAACTCTTTGTACTTTTGAACTGTTGGCTTCATCCCGCTCCACGATGTCGTGAAGGAGCTGGTGCTGTGCGTTTGTGGAGTCGTAGTTCTTAACTAAAACATCAGAGAATGCCACTACCGCAAATGTTTTATTTTAGACATTAGAAAACGTACCAAACCCTTAATTATTTTTGAATTTCACATTGTTATTTGTTTTGTATCATTTAATGAATGTTTAATACTGCATAAATATTTTAGTGTTATATAAATGTACATTTTAAATTGTGATTAATGGTAAAATAATATAAAAAGAACTGAATTGATGTGGGTATGAATGAGGTAATGCTGAGTAAAGTACTATTACCTTATTTATAGTTTGATTATTATTATTTACTGTTTCTTCACCGTCTATTACCAAAAGCTTTCCCTGAGCTTTTCCATCCTGAAAGACTGGAAATAATGCAGTAATTCATCCCAACGCTCCTTGCTGACATCGTTTGAATTTGTTTGTGTAGGATACAGAGCTCTTGGATCTGAGGGAGACCATCGAGGCTCTGAAGGTCAGGAATGACGAGGCCCAGGCCGTCATACATGGAGCCTTAAACACGCCGGATAACATGAAAGGTTTGCCGATGGACCACTTGATCTTCTCTGCACACATTTGGCTCTTTTGACGTTGACTTTTTCTTCTTCGTCAGACATGCGGATTCGACGTCAGAATTCATGTGAGAGCATCTCCAGTCTCAACAGCTTGACCAGTATGTCCAGCGTTGGAAGCTTTAAGGACCAAGATGCCAAAAAGAAGAAGAAAAAGAACTGGGTAAGAACGCAAACTTGCATGTGAGGCAATATTTTACTCCTGCAACGTGGTGTTGGTCTATATTTAGTTCACTCTCCAGAGGGAAAAGTGTGACCAGCTTCTCCCTCCACTGGGTGGTGTTATTTTCTTCTGTTTTAGGTCTTTGAGATGAGTACAGTCATTCTGTCCCTGTAAAGCCTCTCAGGGCCTTAATGCTGTAACCTGCTGAATATTGGTTTAATCTCTCTCTCTCTCTCATCCTCTATAACTCTGTAGCTGAGGAGCTCCTTCACCAAGGCATTCAGCATTAAAAAAGGCGCCAAAACATACTCGGACATTGAGGAAATTGCCACCCCCGACTCGTCTGCCCCAAACTCCCCAAAGATGCTCCATGAGGGGACAGAACTAGAAAACCAGCCCTCGTCCCTCAAAACATCAGCCTCTGCTACCTCTTCCATGTAAGTGCACAAATGCCCATCTCCACTTCTTAGGCCAATAGCGAGATACCCCGTTTATATTTCATGCCCTGATGAGTGCATCGTTCACCTCCAGGATCATGGAAGCCACAGAAGAGGGAGACAATGAAGAAACAGCGGTGACAGACTTGCGCTCAGAACTCTGGGTGAAGGAGAGAGAACTGACCGACATCCGACTGGAGGCCTTAAGCTCTGCACATCAGCTGGAGCAGCTCCGGGAAGCCATGAACAGCATGCAGGTTGGTTTCGCCTGCACGTGCGTATTTAGTTGAGTCAATACCCGAGGAGCATACATGATAACGTTAAATGTTGTACCGCCCCGTGGCTTAGTCTACGGTTGAGGACCTGAAGGCAGAGAATGACCATCTAAAAACGGGCTCCAGTCCCACCTCCTCCACTTCCCACCCTGCCGGCCTGGCCTCTCTCCTGGGGCCCTCCCTGAGGCAGCCCATGAGCATGTCCCTCACCAAGTCCTTCAGTCTCAGTCTGAGTGACTGTAAAGATCCGGGTAAGGGACACGTGTGCACGCACACGCACAGTACATCAAATGTATATTTCTATACTTTTTTTTCACCCTTTTTGACCTTGAATCCTTTCAGAGGTGTCTTCAGTTGACACGTTGAGCGTGTGTTCTCAGCGGGATGAGGAATGTGCACGCGTGCTCGTCCGCATTGGAGATCAACTAGAGGTAAGCGCGGGACACCTTCTTCATACACGCGATGCTTTCAACCCAGCGGCTTGGAGAGCCGCGCACTCATTCCCTCTCTCTGCGTTTGTAGGACAGTAAACAGCCGCAGGAGTTCTACCTCGGCTCAGTATCGGTCAGTGCGGGAACAGGCTGGTCCTGTCTGGACTCCATGATATCAAAGACCTTCACGGTAAGTTTCCTCTCTCACTACATCGGTGGTTCTAACGAATCGTGACCTGCTGGTCCTTACTTGTCCTCGTCTTTCTTTGTTTTTCTCCAGGACTATCTAACTCACGTGGACCCGACTGCCAGCCTGGGTCTGACTTGTGATTCGCTGCACACGTTGCAGCTGTCCTCGGGAGTGCAGAGGGTGATGGGAGGGGACAAACCTCTAGCTTCGCCTTATCGTTGTATCAGCGGCGGTCCAGCTGAAATACACGTCACTTTAAAAGGTTAGCGTCCAAACCACTAACTTAATGTGCAGTTTATTTAAGATGAAGAACTATAATCACAGATGGACATTCAGATCAGTCCTTTGCCGCTCAACACTGTACGGCCTTGTAATGATTACTAAACTTTGACTGCCAATCTAAAACAATTGCTCAATTTGTGTACATATTATTTACATTTTTTTTAATGTACTGTGTTCACAACTATTTAATATATATTACGTAAAACCAATCGCTTCTCAGCTCTCTCCCTCTCTCCCCTCTGCCTGCTTCTCTCCAGGTCTCAGAGAAAAGTGTGTTGACTCACTGGTGTTTGAGACTCTGATTCCTAAGCCGATGATGCTGCACTACATCAGCTTGCTGCTGAAGCACCGGCGTTTGGTTCTGTCCGGGCCGAGCGGGACCGGAAAGACATACCTGGCTCAGCGCCTGGCCCACTTTCTCCTCCAGCGCAGCCGGACCGACTCGCCCGAGGGCGACCATGAGACCTGTGTCCTCGGCCGCAGCGCTGCCGTCACCTTCAACATGCATCGTCAAACCCAGAAGGTAGCGAGACGTTTTTTTTCTTGCAGTCCTTTTCCCACACGAATGTGGGAATCTCTGCACGCACAACATGTGAATTCAACCCGTGTCCTTTCTTCAACAGGAGTTGCAGTTGTATCTCTCGGATCTGGCGAATCAGATTGACAGAGAGACTGGGGGGGAACTGCCACTGGTTGTTATTATTGATGACATCAGTGATCCAGCAGCCATCACAGAGCTTGTTAATGGAGCATTAACCTGCAAGTATCACAAATGGTGAGTCTCTTCGAACAGTTGCTGCACAGTCTTTCACTGAAAATTTGAATAAGCTTTCATGAAAGTACATAATATCCTCTGTTGATGTTTCAGCCCTTACATCATTGGCACAACCAATCAACCTGTGAAAATGTCATCCAACCACGGTCTACATCTTAGCTTCAGGTGAGTACAAACAAGAATATTTACTTTGCCTCCTCTTAATTTGATACACAATTAAATACAAAATGAAGCTTTCATATAGAGTAAAACTAAAGTTTTTTTCGCTCATGACGACAGGATGGTGATGTTCTCCAACAACGTGGAGCCGGCTAACGGGTTCCTGGTGAGGTACCTGCACCGTAAAGAGGTGGAAGCCTACCAGGATAAGGAGCAGGACTCCGCACAACACCAGGCTCTTCTCAGAGTGTTGGACTGGATCCCTCAGCTCTGGTACCACCTGCACACGTTCCTGGAGAAACACGGCACTTCCGACTTCCTCATAGGTATGTGATAGTTGGCAGGGCTTGAAGCGGAACACGGGGGATAATTGGGATTGGTTAACATGAGATTCTCTTTTCAGGTCCATGCTTCTTCCTGTCGTGCCCAGTGTCGTTGGCAGAGTTCAGCCAGTGGTTTATTGACCTGTGGAACCACTCCATAATCCCGTACCTCCAAGAGGGAGCCAAAGACGGCATCAAGGTGAGCACACACACGTCCTCCATAGTGGGACGTTGGTGGTAACAGCAAGACATTCAGTCCATTACCTCTTTGTCAATTCTTTCTCTCAGGTACACGGGCAGAAGGCAGTATGGGAAGATCCAGTGGAGTGGGTCAGGGGGACTCTTCCGTGGCCTAACGCACAGCAGGACCAGTCCAGGCTCTTTCACCTACCTCCGCCGAGCGTGTGTCTACTCAATGAGGAGAAGAAGCCCCCCAAAGATACACCGCCACCCAGCGCAATGGAGTCAGATCCCTTGGTAAGGTTTTTTTGAGATCGGGAACTGGTTCAGGCTAGTGAGGCATGCAGGTATCAGGCATTGTCAGATAAATCTGTCTATCATCACATCATTAATTAACGATATTTTGATCATAGACTAAGAGGATATTTAAAAGAAAATACTCCACAGAGGTTTTGGTGTCATTAATACTAATTGACAGGTAACAGACCCTCCAATGTAATGATTTACCATGTTACTTGTTGTCATTGTTTGGAGGCCAAAACTACTTTTGACTTGGGGCTCTATGGGTTCAAGAAATTGTCCATATTTGCCACACTAGATTTAACCTTGTAAAACAAGACTGTTAATCTCTGTCTCTGTCTTTTCCTGCTACCCAGATGGCCATGCTGCTGAAGCTCCAAGAGTCGGCCAACTACATAGAGTCTCCAGAGCGCGAAGGATGTCTCGATCCCTCTCTGCAGACCACACTTTGAGAACGGATCTATGAAACTCTTCACTCATACTGACACAGCGGGTGCAGTCCCAATGAGACATCAAAGACTCAATGACTTGACTGTGTGCTCAGTGAGCAGCTTCAAAGGTTTGCCCTGCCCTGCTACCAGAAAGACAATTCAACTGCTCGCATATGATGCTGTGATGATCATTTAAAGGAAAGACATGTGTTCCAAATGGGTTGTTCTTAAATCTGCAAGTGCATGGTATCCGGAATAGTATGACGCAAAATATAACCTATAATCCCATTGATCAAAGCCCATTGTTTTGTTTTGTTTTCTTGGCTGCCACAACTTTCACAACAAATTTCATAATGGAATTCACCAATTCCCTAAAAAGTAGGTCCATCACTTGACGACAGCCAAAGATGCACTTTATTTTCTACTTGTGGTAATTGGATTTTAGGAGGCTGTGTCAGTGACTGTGTAACTTGTGGAATCATGCAGTTCATTACTAATACCCCACGATGGCAGCATCTACTTCCTCCTCAGTGCTCTGCTGGCGTTCTGACTTGTCAGAGATGCTCTGTAGAGTGTAACACACACTTTATAGCAGAGCCATGGAAATTGGCCTTGAATGTTTTTCTTCTCTTCAGTTCAGCAATTGTGTAATTCATGACTTCAATATCAGAACAACAAAGCTGTAAGAGTAGCACCCATGGGTGAAAAATGAATGGAAATCGTTCAGGTTGGTTTGTAAAGAAAATGTCTTAATCTGTGGACACCGGTTTTCTCCGTTCAAATTGAACCTATTCAACACACTGTAGTGTAAAAACAGAGGACGAACTGCTTGTTTTTGAAATCTGCCCACACGGCTCATCCTTTCAGACTGTGCGTGCGTGTATTCAGTATTTAGATATCAGTTTCAAAACACAAAATTCTCCTGTGATTGATGAGGAAAATCTTGATTTTGTAGGATTTTATACGGAGTCATCTTCAGCGATCATCTGTATACAGCAGCTATCACCTATGTATGCCTATATCATTATCGACAGCTGCAGGAAACACTTCTTTCTTTGCTGTCTAAATCATTAAGCGTTCACTCAAGTGGAAAACATTATTAAATAAACTTCCATTAGGTGATAATAATTAGTACATAAAAGCATTTTCCTCCTCATTGCATTTGCTCTTTCTCACTTGACGTGACTGTAAGAGGTTTTGGGGGCTAAGTAGGTTGAAATAAGTGGCTTCCTCCTATTTCTTTCCTTTATTTCTTTGCACATAATATATGTATTTATTGCTCACATCTTGACTGTCCTAATGATGACAGAATGAAGCAAGAAGAGACGGCAGTCTGAGGTACTTTTATTCTAAGTACCTCAGACTGCCGTAATTCTGTCCAGATGTTCCTCTTCTGTCCAAAACAGGGTGCTGGTGTAAAGTAAAGTAGAGACATGATGCCTAAGTCTACCTGTGCCTGAAAAACAATTGGCCTGGAGCTTCTTTTGAGCTGCTTTAATCTTCCACGCAGAGGCCTCGATTGGAGGAAACGTCATCACTTCCTCTCACCTACTCTGATGTCACTTTAATGTTATCCCCTTGATGCCCAGATTTAGTTGGAGAGTGGGTTGGGCGACTGGTGGTCACGGTGATACGCTGTGAGATAAGATGGTGTGTTTGCCATGTGACTCTGCAACAGACGATGATGCGTATCAATGGCCGAATCTTCAGATTTGACACGCTTTTAATTGTGTGAAAGACTTGACATCTTTTGTTGCGTTGCCTGAGCGTCAGAGACAGTGTAAGAACGGATGTTAGCCTGGAGGTGTAATGTAGATGCATGTATCCCTGCTGTGTACCCAAAGTTTTGTTTCATTGGACCTACCACACTTAAACCTGCCACGGGAGGGATTTTTATTAACTGGGTATCTTCCTCTTTTCAAGTTGTTTTTATCAAGAGCAGACATTTGTTTTTATTATGCAAATATTTGTAAAGGTTTCTCTCTTTTGTACATGACATCACTATTGTATACACTGTAAATAGTTAGTGCATCTGCGACAACAATCACTAAAATGTGTAGGGATCAAAGGCAAGACATGGCCCCCTGTATGCAGAAGACGGGCGTCTTTGGTGGTTCTATTGTCTTTCTCCAGCGGGAAAGAGGGCTTTGCTTGAACGGGGGTGGGGGCTAATGGTTGTATGGCATGTATCTATTAATACATCAAATCCCATATGTCTTAACATTGCGCAATGGACACAATAAAGTCATGCCATTCTTTACATCACTCCCTGTCTTGGCTGTATTTACCTTCAGTTATCCATCAGGGGGCGCTAATGCTCCTGTTTAAGATCATTCAGTAGGCTCTGTGAACATTTTGCTGAATGTGGTGGTTTTTGTCAGACCGAAATGTTCTTTGGAATTACTTCAATATTACTGGGTTTGTTGTATAAGTTATTACTGTGTTCATTTCCATTACAAGCCCGGGTTTCCCTGCCTCTCACAGGTACTCCTAACATGGATAAGGATGAAGCTGAAATAGGGAGTTGATAACGGCCGATGGGTGGAGACAGTCCAGCCGCCCTCGTGCCATATATATATATATTACCAAAGATCCCTCTTGGCTCATTCATCCAGAGGACCGGACGTCTATCAGCACAATGCCAGGCAAACCTGCGCCCATCAAGAAGTCCCCGGCCAAGAAGGCTGCCAACAAGAAGCCCGAGCCGGCCCCGGAGTCTGAGCCGCCCCCCGTAGAAGCTGCACCTGTGGACGCTCCACCTGCGGAAGCTGCACCTGCGGATGCACCACCTGCAGAAACTGGCCCCGTGGAAGCCGGTCCGGCTGAGGGAGAAGCAGCCCCCGCTGCCGAGGGACTAGCAGCCCCAGCAGTGGACCTCCTCAATGCTGAAGGAGTCACCCCAGGTATCCTGGGATTAACCACGAAATACTCTGCCCGACATGACTTGCAGTGCTAACTGTGGAAGTAACCGGGGCTACATCATGGACAGGTTCTCCTCTGAGGCATAACTGTATTGGTCTTAGGCACTGCTATCTTTTTAATTAAACAACACTTGAGCTTAGTAAGCACTTTCTGTTGCCAGTGTAATTGCTAGAACAAATGAATTAAACAATAGGTTAAATGTCAAACCCCTGTCAGTGGGATACCAATTAGTTTCATACCCTGAACTTCTCAGGTTCTTGATGCTGGTAATCAGCGATTATAAATAAGGACAATTTAGAAGACTGACATTTGTAGTACCCATAAGTCTGCCAAATTGGTTTTCTCCCGGCTCCACTGTAGATCTTTTGAGTCTTTCAAACATGTAACATACATCTTTCCAGTATGTTTACAGTGATTTTTATTCCATGAGAACAATTCTGTGTGAAAGGAGGCAAAAATGAAGGAGACTGGTTGTAGGCAGTGATTGCATGTTAACCTCAACATTTAACCCTTAATTCCAGCTGATTGCACCGAGGGGGGCGACTCCTACTGAGTGTATGTAACACACAACGCCTGTAATGCGTTAAATCTCTTTTCCAGTTAAATGATGAGGAAGGTTGACATGTAACTTTATAGAAAAGACACTCTGGAGATTTTAAAACATTAACCTTTCTGGTTCTAGCTGTTCCGGCAGAAGCTGCTTTAATGGAAGAGCCGCCAAAGGCTCCCACACCCCCACCTCCTGCAGGTGAGAAACATTTACACTCTACTGTTGGCTTGGTCCTGTTAAACCACGTTTAAGGTTATGAAAAGGACACAGTGAAGACTAAAACTTTTACTATCAAATCCTCCCCTTTTTAAAAGTATCAAAAATTGTATATTTTGCATTTAATAAGAACCAAAAATCATGTGACAAGCTATTATGGTTGTGCGGAATTGTACCACATCATTTTTTTTTTATAAGAATTCTGAATTAATGATTAGTCGATTGCCAAAGATGAGACATTAACCATCCAACATCCGTAATTCCATCTGTCATTTTGCAAGCAAAAATATCCAAGTTAATTTGTTAATTGTTTCAATTGCAGAGTGTCTTAGAAATGGATTTTCTTTATGAAGGCTATATCGCCATTTTCCGTTTCATTTCAGCCCCTCTTGATGTTTACTTCAATCCTTTACTAATCCGCTCTGCTTGAAGTCCCCACCAGCGCTCCTCTGGACGTTTCCGTGGAGGATGTGAACGACTCCAGCCTCACCGTTAAATGGAAAACGCCCGGGACCATCGGAGACTCCGGATTGGACGGATACCTCGTTGAGTACCGCAAGGATGGAAGTGAGTCTCTGTGCGTACGTATGTGAGGCTGCACCTGTCCTCAGACTGTCACAGGGCAGATGGACTCATAGCTGTATCCAGGCCGTGTACGACAGGCAGCATTTCACCGGCTGTCCCTGTGCTGTATCTCCTCACGACACTTTTAGAAGTGCTCGTTTGCTCAGATGACATCATTGCTTCTGAGGTTTCCTCACCGAGGCCAAAGCGTACTTTTAACGGCTTGGATGTTTGTAAAGCTGGCGACAGGCAATAAACCATTTATCATCTCCCATTAAAGGATGTTCCGTACTTTTGGAAATGGAAAAAAAGATTTCAGGAGGAATGTGTATAGGTATTAAAAAAAAGATGTTTGCAGCCTTACAAGCTATTATGACACATATGCTTTAAAGTTAAAAACTGCCCTGAGACTAACATATTTTAATAACCCCAAAATGGTGCGTCCTGCAGCAACAGACTGGGTTGTTGCTCAAGAGGAGCTGAGCCAAAACAACCTGTACTGCATCAAGAATCTCACCTCCTGTGACGTGCTGCACTTACGCGTGGTGGCTGTAAACCGCGGCGGTCGCAGCGAACCCGGTTCCCTCGCTGAGCCGGTGCTCATCCGAGAGATTGGTGGTGAGTAGCAGCCACTTTTTTTTTGTGAAAGTCTAAAAATCCCAAGCAGCAATTGTGACCTTTGATCCATCCACTCAAGTGTAACGTGTGCAAAAGTGTGCAACATCCATTTCTTGCCAGTGGTCTGAAGGTCTGAACAAAATGTCCCTGCAAATGATTTTTTTTAAAGATGTTATTGCAACACCCTCCGCTGGTGGTTGTACTGTAACTTGTGACCTATCTGAAAAATGCTTGTGTCGTGAAGAGAAGGTATTAACTGCCGTGCGGGTAAGACGGACTGCACAGATGTATGCACATAAATCCTACGTGTGCAGACAAGACCTTTCATTAGCTGTAAATCATGCTTACACTTGTCCACACGTCTTCAGTCCTTCAAATACAAAGGTGAAGCACAGGCACATTGTTTTACTTTAAATAAAATGTTATTTTTAATAAAATGAACAACATAAACATAACACAGACACTAAGAAAAGACAAACATGCAAGCCAGGGTGTATTTATATATATATATATATTTCTAATTTACATACTCTGTTTTAGTACGGAACCATGACTTGACCGGTTGACCATTTATTGACAGTTAAAATGTTTAATTGTCGGAACCATTTGAAGTTAAGAAACATACTTGGACCATAAAACTCTCCTGTTTTAGTATTCAGCAACATAAACTTTCAAACGTACTGCAGCGGCACTAAAGTGGCTTCTGCTGCATCCGTCTTCGAGATGATTTATTGGGGAATGAATCTGGCAAAGGAAAACATTTAGCTAATGAGCCATCTGGCTGCCATATTTTTTTTACTGACTTCAACCATGTCAGTGTGACCTCGCTGCCACTTTCTCACTTCAATTTATTGCGGTGGCGGATGCTGTCTTCCGTCCGGTAACGCTTAACGTCTTGCAATAAATAAACAGTCCATATTATATTATGTCTTCATTATGCCCATTTCAAATTCACTTCAGTCCCTTTTATGTGGGTATAAATAACAGCCACTATTCCTCTTTGTTGCTTTATTTTTAAAAGTGCAGCAAATGGCTTAAAAGTGCCCCTGATTTGCTCTGTTAAACTGGAGTTGGCTTCGTTACTGAAGCTGTGAGTTTCCATCAGTGCTCACGGCGAGTCACATTGACGTGGTGAAGACCTGAGCTGAAATGCCCCTGTTATCCCCTTTGAGGAGGCCAGCTTAATGTCTCAAACAGGAAGGAAGGAAGTTGAGAAATGCAGTCATCCCCCAAGAAGCGCTGACGAGGGGAGTGACACGTGAGCCTAATTGGTGGATTCCGGGCGGCTTGCTGAGGCGTAAATTCAGCTGTGTCAGTCACACTCTGAGTCACCCAGCTACATTCGAGCTTCTCACAAAGACACTTCATCCCGAGGCAGCGACACATTATAACTGGTTTGCAGGTGGACTTGCCGGCTGCTGAAATGCCCGCAACACTTCCGGGCGTTGCCGGGAACGGTGCTGATGCTTAGCAGAGATTACTGTTTGAGCCAAATCTGGAGGCAGACCTGATCCTCACAGAGAGGGTTGGTTCCAGGTTTTCATTGTAACAGCCTCTGTGGCAATGATATAGTGACAAATGTTAGGATGAAGAAGCGGAGCAAAATGAAATTGCACTTTCTTGTTCCTCTGAGTTCCCATTCCCATCAATGATATGACGTTCGGAGTGGAGAAGGAGAAACAGAGGCAGCTGCAAGGGGAGAGAGGTGATGAAGGGCAGCGGGTTGGATGTTTCTTGTAAGCCCAATGAGCTTTTCAGACATTTGATGCTCATGCAGAAAGATGCAAAGGATGCTGTTCCTGGCCTTCCTACATAGTAGTTAATTAAAAGACAAATGCAGTGTATCCATATCTTTTTATCCACAGCTTAAATATACAAGCAGTTATCACTATTGAATTGGGTGTATTCAGTTTCCAATCTGTTACACAGTTTCTACATGTGATGTTTGACCACTTCAATTAGTTAAAAAGTGGTGACAACTTCAGATGGATCTTTGTGCATTACAGAGGGAACATATGCCGGCGTTTGTCGCAGTATCTCATCACTAAAGCTATTTTTAGGGTCTTCCTGTTTTGCCTCTCTTCTCAGATACTCTACTGTTCCTCTTTTCTTAGCTAGGCTTCCTATGTATGACTACTGATAAACATTTACACGACTGATGTGGATTTTTTCATTTATTTAGATAACCACACAATCTATTCCACAATAATTGTTCACTTGGTGATACAAGCACCAAATTTGGCATGAATAATGCCTAAAGGCGACCATTTTTCAAGATGGCTGTCACCGAAAATAGCTTGAATGGCTTGACATATTTTGTTGACCTAGACATCAAAATGTATGTATTTTGGCACGAGAAAATTCAATGGTGCCAATACACATTCAACATAGCTGCTATTTTTCAAGATAATGCCCATTTTATACTCATACATTATAGCGTTTTTACATGTCTTCATAAATTCACCTCTTATGCCATTGCATAAATGTTACATACTCCTATGTTATATATCTGAATTTTTAGAACAATATCAGCTCTCTATATAATGGGACATGAATTGTACTACCAAACAAACCACAATATGAAGCCACAGGTTTTCTGTTGTTTATTCATTGTCCCCTAAGATATAAAAACATTTCAAGAATATGCTTTCTAATGTTGTTCTAAAGATATAGGCCAATTTAGGAGGAACAGACATTGAATTCTGGTCTGAAGGCTGAAACAAAGTCAAAACGAGGCAGAGGAGGCAGACGCAGAGTGACAGAAGTCTTATGCAAGAGTGAACTTTTTCAGTGTACGGCTGACAAAATTGTGTCTGGAAAATGTTGCAAAGGGGAACAATTCTTTTGCAACAAACCACTTGAAACCATGAAGAGATAAGGCCATATTTTTTTCCCATCGTGGATATCAGGCTTTTTCGAAAATATAGGTCTTGAAGAGAATTTCTACCAAATTTGATACTTGTATGACAATGTAAAATATTGTTATCTATCTATATATATATATATATATATATATATATATATTTATATATATATATATATATATATATATATATATTCATGGACACTGGATATTTTTGGATATTAAATATAGCTCCTGAAGTCATGTTCTCTTGTCAGCTTTGCAAGCGGGAGGTCTATTTTGGTCTTGTTGACCTGCCCTATTGAGCATTCATAACCCCACTTTGAAGATACAAACGAGGAGTTTGACACAATTTGTACACTGTTGGCTTGTAATGCTGACACAAATTGTCAAGAGGGGGATTTTTTTTTGGTAGTTGTCCAGGTTTTGTTCATAAAAACAAATAGTTAAGATAGAAAATAGAAATGGCTGACTTTTTTTTCAGAGCGTCCAAAGATCCGCGTTCCTCGCCACCTCAAATCCTGCTTTATCAAGCAGGTTGGAGAGCAGATCAATCTGGTCATCCCTTTTCTGGTAAACTGCACGAACATATACTCTGTATAGTCCTTGAATAACAGCAGACATCACGCTTCTTCTTGTGTTTTCCTAATCTCTAATCTCTAATCTCTCTCTTTGCGACTCCTCAGGGAAAACCCAAACCTGTGGTGTCCTGGCTGAAGGACGGTCAGCCTGTGGATACGAGGGTCAATATAAGGAACAGTCACAAGGACAGCATCATATTCATCCGTAGTGCTCAAAGGGAGGACTCTGGTATTTATGAAATGACAGTTAAAGTGGACAGCTTTGAGGACAAAGCCACCATCGCCCTTCAAATTGTGGGTGAGGCCCACATGCTTGTGCCTACACGACAGCAACACACTTTGGTGCACATGTGTGCGTGTAGTGCGAACGTGTCCTTATTTCAGACCCCTCGGTCGAATCTGCTCTACATGGTTGTGCTGTTGGCTTGTTGGTTTTGGGGCTCTTGTCTTGATCCATCAAAAATTCAAAGCGTGAGCTAACGTACATCACACCTCTAACAATGATGACCTATGAACCTGCCGTCAGCTGCTGCTGTTAAAATGTTTGGCCTCGTGTTAGAGGTATTACCATACAACGTTCTGTCCTGAACATGGGAGCAGACACCCATTTATGCTGCCATGGGAACTCTGGTTAGGATTTTAATCCTTTGGTGGTAAATACTGACACTTATGTGTCTCCTCAGACCGACCCGGCAGTCCTGCCGATGTGAAGCTGGTGGACACCTGGGGCTTCAACGCTGCTCTTGAATGGACCCCTCCCAAGGATAACGGCAACACAGAGATCACTGGATACACCATCCAGAAGGCCGACAGAAAGACCGGGGTACGGCAGATGTATACCAGGCCAATCACATAGTTATATAGTCACATGGTCATAATCAAAAATCACATTAGACTTTGTGCAGACATACCAGGTTCACACTCGACAAATGATTAACAGGAGTTCACCCGTAGATACCTATGGAGTAGGTTTTGATGTAGTTCAGTGTCTGATTTATCCTCTTTTCAATATATATATATATATATTATGTAATGTATATGTGTAATGAGTAGAGAGAATTAACCTAAAACGAGCATTCCAAGCATCTCAGCCATCGTGTCTCTCCTGGCAGGTATGGTTCTCGGTTCTGGAGAACTACCACCGGCTGACTGCCACCATCACAGACCTCATCATGGGCAACTCGTACTCCTTCAGGGTTTTCGCTGAGAACCAAGTGGGAGTCAGTGAGACCAGCGCTGTCACCAAGGGGGTGGCCACCATCCAGAAGACGGGTGAACTTCTTGATTCATTCCTTAACTCTTCTATGGTCAATGTGTTGATTTATTAAAAGGGCTGCACGACAAGTGTACTACTTATATTTCAATGAGCTGCATGAAGACTTGAGGGGTGGAAGTGGCTTTTGGAAGTGCTAACATCTTAAGTGGGTATCTCTCTTGGGTGCACAGCGGGGCGGCTGTGTGAATGATTTCTGCAACCCTCCCACTTACTCAGTCACTCCCCACTGTAATTGACCAGTGAAAGAGTAAGCTCAGGACACAATTCTGAAGAATTGACTATAGCATCTCGTTCCATGTGTTAACAGGCATTGTCTACAAGCCTCCAGAGTACCCGGAGCGGGACTACAGCGAGCCACCGAGGTTCACAACACCCCTCGCTGACCGCGCTGCCACTGTGGGATACACCACCAAGCTGCTGTGCTCTGTCCGTGGATGCCCCACGGTCAGAAACTCCTCACTATACACTCCAACCCAAGTCTTTATACAAACATTGCACTTTGCTCAGAGAGAATTATATAGTTTCATGTTTTCATGTTAATATGCAGTTTGTACTCATGTTCTCGTCACCCATAGTACATCTTATCGCTGTATTGTGTCCAAGATCGCAATAGGCTCATATGCTCACTTTTGTTTTGCCCAGGGACCCACGATAAACCATTTGAGCTTGTGACACATTGCTTCAAAATGAGGTATTAATGTCACTGCTATAAGCATCCACTGTTGCAATGGGGCGGGGTTTGCACTGGAATTTCTATGTGATGTTTCAGTATGTCTTCCACCGTTCTGGTCGGCTGCTGCTCTGGTTAAACATATCTTTACGGTTGTCTGGCTGTCACAGGCGGCTTAGGAGGCCACGCGATGGAACTGATTATGTGTCCCCGTTGTCCTTGACGACTCTGCAAAGACCGCAGGAGTGGAGTCCACAGTCCGCACATGCCAGTGTGCTGGAGTCAAATCAAACAGAAACTAATGTGGGGCTCCAGTACCAGTAGATGTGGAGCTTTTCCCGGAACTGTGTCAACTGAATGTTTATGGTTCATACCGACAAACCCTGGATCATCCCAGACGTCTGAGTGAAGAAGTCCCACTCGGTCTGATTGAGTCTTGAGGCGGACGGGCAGGCAACTGAAGTCGTAACAGCTGTGTGTAAAAACACATTAATAATCACTAATAATCCATAGAGGGCCACAGATATTCTGTGAATGTGTGCTCGTATATGAAACTGCTGCCACTGGTTAATCCCTCTATAACCATTTGCATACACTTAAATGTAGCTCTATATCTATATCTCTATAGGCCACACAATTCTAAATCATTCATTCATCAATCAATCATTACAAACAGTCAAACTATATAAAATACTATTTCATTTTTTCTCTCCAACACTGCCTGTGTCTACATCTGCAGCTGTCCAAGTTGTGCATGCTCTTCCTCTCGCCTCTTCCTCACGTCTTCTATCATTGAAATTCTGTCACGCTAGGCATTTGTATTGGTGCGTGGCGTGTGTTCAGAGTCACTCTGGACTGCTGAGTGACGTCCAGCAGAAAAGCCTTTAGTGTGATAAGTTGTCCTGCTGTCTCTGATAAAGAGCCGTTGGAGAGGCTGGCAAGATAAGCAGGCAAGACAAAGGAGATAAAATGATAAGAGCTCTAGGTCTGCTGTCCTGTCATGGCGACAAGTGGAGTCGAGGCTGTAACACAGAAGGTACTATATTTGCCAGCTCTGTACAGGCGGCAGCAAAGTTATCGGTGTGACTAAGTATCCCTGTGACTTCCCCACACATGGACGACCAAAGACGGAAATGTGATGGGACAGGAATGGATTCAACAGATGACATTAGATTACACTTAAAAGTGTTTTCCCACATCTAAAGTTAAAAACAAAATGTAAGTCAAACAGTGAAATCAAGTAAGTTTAGCTGTTGGACCTTGCAAGTCCATTGAGCTTCTTTTACCTTTTTTACCGTCTACAGTCAAATGACTGAATTTAGAAAGCTTGTTGAAAGCAACAACACACGTCAGTTAGGAGGCGTTATACAAACCCTTCTAAAACGTATCGGCGGAGCAGAAATCCAACGACTGGAATCATCTTGCATGAGGAAATCCCTGCAGGGAGACGGTCATCTTAGCCCAGAGCGGCACATACCTGAAGAGACTTGTATTACTCCCATATGACCCAAATGTCAAGCTCTGCAAAGACGGTCAAAGCTCACAGGAGGACAAGTCATTTTGATGTCCAATGTGAAACAGTAAAGACTGAAACTCAATCTTGTGGTAGAAACAAATAGAAAGAAGTGAAATACACCAAACCTAAAACTCTTAAAAAAATAAATAGTTTGAAGCTGAGAACTTAAAACTCAAAACCTCACTCATCACTGCTGATGTTTTAAAAAATCAGCACGTCTGACATGTATCTTCATAACAACATCAAGTACGGGGAGGAATGTTTAGGAGTTGCTTTTAGGATTCGGTACATAAACAAAACTACACTGGTATATTTAAGGGATGCTGTAGTTTATAAATGTCTCCCCTTGTCATCTTAGCCTAAGATCGAGTGGTTGAAGAATAAAGTGATCATCGGAGACGACCCCAAGTATCGTCAGAACTCCACCCAGGGTATCTGCTCCCTCGAGATCCGTAAACCCTGCTGCTTCGATGGCGGCGTGTACACCTGCAGAGCCAAGAACGAGCAGGGAGAGGCCGCGGTCTCCTGCAAGCTGCAAGTCAAACGTACGTGTCTGAAGCAAACGGAGGGTGAAGTTGTCAAAAGACAGATACATGTGGATTGTTTCCCACTCTTTACAGTCTGTATGCTAAGCTAAGTAGCTGTTGACTGTTGATTGACCTCATAGAGACAGGAGAGTATCCATTTCTAGATGACCTCTTATCAAGAAAACAAATAAAGGCCTTTGCTAAATGCTAAACTAACAATTTACATTTGAACTGTTTATTGGTCCCGTTTGATGATTACGGCTTCAAAGTCTTTTTTAACTTGTACCAGAAGTGCATGTGAAAAAACATTTAAAGTGTTGATTCCTCTCCTGACAGAGGTTATTCTTCCTGTGGCTGACAATGAGAAGGGAAAATAACCCCCCCACCACCAAAGGTAAGAAACACCCACGGTCGAAGCCTGAGATGTTCATTGTGTCACCAGTGGGAGCACACATTGAATATTCATGTGGCAGCTCACCAGCTTTGCATTGCAGTGTTTTCAAACTCAAAGCAAAAAAACAATAATGGCTCATCTTTCCTTCCCTCTTGCCGGTTTTCTAGTAATCTGTGCAGCCCACATTACCGCTCCCATCCTCATTCCTACTTTTGGATGTGGTAACGTAGCAAAAACTAATCAGTCAGTCAAAAAGATATGCCAACTTTGCCCTTTTTACAACATTAACATTTCTATTTATACCCTCACAATTAGGCAGCCGCATTTAGTCATTGTTACTTTCGTATAAGCTTTTCAAAAGCTCGAGTGGTGTTGCCTTTCACGGAGAGCTAGTAGGATTTATGCACAGTGGGATTCCAACTGGTGACAAGATAAGCCGCATTAAAGCATTTTAAAAAATGAGTGAACCGACAAGAGAAGGTAGCGCGATTTTGAAAAAAGGGACAAACAGATGGACCCATTTAAGCTAGGAAGAATGATGGGACAAATTCACATGTTGTTGGTAATGAGATGTGTAGAATAGCTGAAGGTTGTAAAGTGTTACAGAGAATGATATCTTGTGAAAAGACTTACCACTTCTTTTTTTTACAGCACTGTGAAACACAATCCCTTTCATCCTGCTACGTTCAAAGCGGGAGCAAGGGTCCTATTCTATTTAGAACTCTCTTACCCTCCAAACCTCCTTTCTCTAACCACCTTCTTAGCATAAATTGGTCTTGACTAGAAGCCGTGTTGGCCTACACTGCATTAAAAGGGAACACAGTGCTGTCGCAGAAGCATGGCAACTGAACATGTGCTCCAGTTTGTACCGCTAATGCTGTTAGCAACGTGACCGTTAGCTTGTGGAGAGCAGTGTAGAGGCTATTAAAATGCTCCCAATTCTTGTATTTTGCACCAGAATGCAAGTATGTTCTAGCAGTAAAGCAAAATACAAGTATGGACCTAAGTTTGTGTTGTCATTTTGTACAACAAGGAAACCAATTACTCCCCCCGTTACCTTGAACTATTGACGAAAGGTTTTCTCACATGCCTCTATGTTGAAGAAAAATGAATGTGGGCCGTGTATAACAAAACCAAAACTTTATTAAAGCATTTGTTTACAAACCCACACAATTCACGTTATATAATCAAAGTCATTTATCCAGTTTTATGTACCTCCAAAGCTCCAAAGCAAGAATTCAAGGACATACAAATACAAATGGTCATTTTGTGAGTGAAGTACTCCTTTAATTTATCCTTGAATATTGTGCCAAAATGTGTCGTGTGAATTGGTAGACTTTAGCAAATCGCAAAAAGAGGCATTTGTTATGTTACATGGAGACAACGAAACTGTCCTTCACTACGCATCAGGGACAAGTGTGTGTTCACACTGTACAGCAAATTGGGTCACATGCCTGCCTGACCAACGCCCCCAGGGTGGCTCAAGTGATCCCATCTTAATGCACCCTCAATGTGCTTGACTGCATTCACGCCTGTATTTACAGCCGTTCACTTGTGATCACATTACCAAAGCGGAGGCATTTTCATGCCAGGTGTAAATTGCGCCGTTTAGATGACGTTATCTTGCATGTGAGTTTTAGGATGCTATCCCATAAGGCACAGGGATGTCGATGCAGCAACCCACAGCTTCTAAAAGCACAACTGCTCATGGCTCCATTAAACTCTCTCTCTCTCTCTATTTTGATTTAAATTATTTTTCCACCTGTGAGAAATCCAGGTCTCATGTTCAGGGAAATTTGTGTGTGTGGGGAAACATTGTAACATTGTGGGGGGCTCACCTTCCTTATGGACAACAAAATGTAAGTCCCCAAAGCTTAAGTCATTATATTAGGCCAAAGACTTGGTTTAAGGTTAATTTACATATTGATTTAGGTTAGGGTCTGGTTAAGGCAGTTATGGTAAGTGTGAATCTGAATGAAATGAATGTAAAGCCACACAATGTCCCCAAATGTGTGTGTGTGTGTGTGTGTGTGTGTGTGTGTGTGTGTGTACATTATTCATCCTTCCAACACTTTCTATATGTGTCTCCTATCTTTTCTCCTATCTTGAGTGTTAGAACAGGCGAGAGTCTGTGCAATGGGGTTTACATAAAGAAGAAAAGGAAAAGAGCAACGAACCAACATCTCCATATCTATTTCCATCACAACTCCAACTCAGAATGCACAGAATACCCATTCAGCCCTACCCATCCCAGTTTGTCATATGTTGTATATTGTTTAATTTGGTGACATGTATGTAAGGATATATATTAAAAAGTCTGGCATTGTCCATATAAATATTTACATATGTACCTCACAATAAAACAGTGAATCATGAGACATGGTAATGACTGTATGGATAGTGTTTTATTACATATGATGTGTATTTACTTTAGTGTATGGGTGAACGGACCCTTTAATGCTGTGGTTTCCAAACTTTTCTGTTGTTTTCAATTAATTTCATTATAAAACTGTTATAGTTTTTTATATATATACATCACTTTATATATATTTTTTAAGTTTTCAGTCATTTTGTAAACTTATTTTTAAGTAAATTTACTTAAAATATTATAATTGAAGTGGCAAACAGTGCAAAAGTTACATCATCACATTTAACAGGAGGTTTTTCAAACCATTCTTTCTGTGCAGCACTGTGTCTTTTTCGATATTTCGATTGTTAATGCTGCGCGTCTCTCTCTCTCTCTCTCTCTCTCTCTCTCTCTCTCTCTCTCTCTCTCTCTCTCTCTCTCTCTCTCCCGCTATCGCTCTGCCTCTTGGGGGTTAGGGTTTGGGTTAGGCTCTCTTGGGTGGGGGGCGTGTTTAAAAATAAAGCAACTTATGTCAGTTTTGCTTTCGTTTAGTGATGAAGCCGCAACCTTCCTGTTGGCCCACCACAACCCCCTTGGGTTAGCAACCCGACCCCCAGTTTGGAAACCACAGTTTCAATGCTCCTCGGCTTTTTAGGCTAAAAAGGTTTCTTCTTCACTAAAATCAATCATCTATGATTTATTACAGATCTGTCCATGTTGCTATCGATGCCAGTCTATTTACTCTTTTCATTCTTAGATTTTATGAGAATATTTGATATTTTTTTTGCCAGATATGAAGTAGACGGGGGGCACTTGATGAGCGCTGTGATTGTAGACAATCACATCTTCTGTTATACTGACACCTAATGGTGAGTACTGTGAAGACACAACAATGACGGAAAAGCAGGGAGGCGTTTTGTAGGACTTTTGTTTTGAAAAGGTAAAAGGAATTGCGGTTTTGTTTTATGTGTGAATGTACGGCTACTGAGCTTGTTACAGACATATGCACATCTATACGTTAAAAAAAAAATGTTATAGTTTAATGCAGGGGAGTCCAATAGGTCAATCAAAGGCATCACCAGTACATCGCCTGCCATTAATTAAAAAACAATAATGTCATGTCACGCATGCGCGGTCGACCGCAGGAGTTAACGGAAAACTGGACGCATTTAATTTAATTCGAAAGCAACCCAGGTTGACTGACAGTGTAGTAATGAGTAAGGTAAAGACCAAGAAGGCGTGGAATGGATGGGACGGTTCCCTCCTTCTGACGGTTGCTTTTATTTTTATATCCACTCGTTTTTGCGCTGACTGTGTGTTTCCGCCACTACTCGTTCGCCCGACTAGGCCCGACCGGTGGTGATTTACACGTTTGGTGAATATATATGACGTTGTATCTTTACGGGAAGTCGCACTCGCTAGACTTTGAGCTGCAGAGAGGAACATGTGGCTGTGAAGGTTCAGCAGGGCGGGTTCACGGAAGTCTAAAAAAATATACATATAACTTCCCCACATTTTCCATGAATCACGTCACACCCACCGGTTGCAGGAGGTGTTCTCTGCACAATCTTCACACGGTGTCTGTTCAGCTTTAGTCTTTAGTCCAAAATAAAAATAATTCGTTTAAATTTGATAAAATATTTTGACTTGTTTCTTGACTCTTCGACCCCAATGAAGGTCACTGGCCCAAATGCGTTGTTCTGACAATATAGTGTTTCTATAAAAAGTGTTACAAATTATTCAGACGTTTCACTTCCTCAACAGACACACAAAAAACTTTACACATTAGTGTCCTTTTGGGAGGCCATTCAACACAGTTGCATTCTCGCTCTTTATTTTTATTTCCCTAAAACCTTCCCCGTCACTTTTCAGCAAAAATGCACAATTTCAATGTATGTTTCGAGAACACAAACATCTGAATGTGGTTAACCAACACATTTCCTGTTGCTTCAACAAAAAAGAAGGGCGGGCGTCAGACACAGGAAACCTGCAGTCCTGAGGTGAGTTTAGAAATGAATTTGTTGTGCGAACGCCCATTTAGGGTTTGGTCTATTTCCTTGTGAAGATTACAGCGCAGACAAATGAGTCAACTCGGCTACATCTGCAGGTGGATGGAAAATGATGCTTGTCAAAGTCCTCAGTGTCATATGTAAGTTTTTTTTAAGCAATGATTTTGGTGATTTATGTTATAAAATAAATATGTGATTCCCTTTGAAGATTCATTGTCATTGGTTTTGACAGATTTCACTGCCTGTGCAGCTCAGAACTCTGATGGTAAGAAACCGACACTCATTGGAATGCGCAACACACGAGTATGAACTAAATGGTCTGTTATGCTTTTTTGATTGCCTTTCTGAGGCAGAATGAAAAACAATGTTTGGGAAGTAAAACAGAGAAGTTACTAAATGGAACATGAAGTACTTTGTTCTCACAGGTCTTGGCACTTCCTTCAATTGGACACCCGTGGGTGCAAGCTGACGTTTTTAGTATTGTGTAGTTTCCAACTTTATGCTTTTACACCGTTGTGTTTTTTAAACTCTATCATCCATCTAATGTTCCGGTTCTTGTGTCATCCAATAGTATAACAACTGCCATTAAACTGTTAGAATCACCTGCACATGTGTGGTGTCGCTGAGAAATCGATTATGTCTGTTGTGTTTCATTTAACTCCGTTTGACTGTGAGGTACTGTGTTCTGTTTTTGTCCGTTCTTTTGTGTCCCTTTTCTTTTGTTGTCGACCAACGTACATTTGAGAAGCTGAATCCAGTGGATGTCTGGCATTTCTGCTTGAAAAATGACTGAAATGATTAATCAATTATTGAAGTAGTTGTAGAATCATTTTCTGCTGATTGATTGAATAATTGTTGCAGCTCTCAGTTCACTGTTCTGATCTAAATTCTGTTCTCCACATCTCTCTTTTCATCCACCAGATTACACCACGGCTGAATCCAGTTTTCCTTTGTCTACACCCGTCTATGGTGAGATTTTAACCACTATTGAAATGCAAATCTATTAAGAGTAACCAAGTGTGTCCAAATTTTTGTCTCTCATCGACAGTAAGCCTCGTGAAACCACCATGGCTGTCGCTCTAGCACTTATTCATTTCTCTTCCTGTTTCGGATGGTTTATAACTTCATGACATCATCACCGCAATCGGTCTCTCCACCTTTTAGAAGAAGTCAATTTAAGTTGGAAACTAAACCGCTTATCTGATAAATGAATGTATAATATTATTCAGTATTATTCTATTCAAATGTAATTTGTAAACATGTTCTAAAATAATTTACCTGCAATCTGTTATAGTGTGTATTTTTAGATAACAAGTTGGTAAGAGATGGCATTCCACGTATATCAACTGTAGCAATTATTTAGAATATCATCTCATCATTTTGAACTTATTGTGAACTAAATCCTTGATAGTTAGGCTCCATATTCCACACCTAAATGCACATGGCTGTTTCAGTAATATGCTATTTCTTAATAATGTTATCAATATTGTTTGTAATACAGTTACAGAGCCTCCTGTACCGTCTCTGCAGCGACGTTCAGAGAGGTCAGATGTGTTCCCTTCTGAGAAAGTGGAGCTAAGCTGTAGTGTCCCAAGCAGCGCTGCCTGGACCTTCAGCTGGTACAGAGACACGCAACGAGTACAAAATACGGATCCAAATGTGGCCTTGTCGCCAAATGGCTCAAATCTTATCATCACAGCAGCAACTCAAAGCTACTCTGGAATGTATTCCTGTGAAGCTCACACTCCTACATCAACAACGGCTGTTACCACTAAAAGAAGTAATTCCATCAAAATCACAGTTCATGGTAAGTTTAATCACCCTTATCCAAGCACAATGCGAGCCGGCGTGTAATACACAAAAATTTGAATGTTACTTTTTTCTTCCTCCCTTCTCATTAGCAAACAAACCCAAACCCACTTTGACCAGAAGTTCAAACTTTGACAAGATGTTCCCCGGAGAGTCGGTCACCTTCACATGCAAGGTCGATGTGTCTGATGGATGGCTTTATCTTTGGTACCATGATGGAACAGAAGTTCAACCTTCTAGTGTGGGTACTTACACCATAGCATCTATAGATCACACCCATAGTGGGAAATACCACTGCAAAGCCAAAAGAGCCAACGGTCCCTTCTACACAGAAGAGAGTGACACAACGGCTCTGCATGTCTCTGGTAAGTTTACCTGAGAAGTGTGTCTTCAGTTTGCCACCAATCAAACCGCTTCATTACTTTCTATGCACATGGCCACAGGACTTGGAAGTTTAGATAACTAATGATGCACTAAATATTTTGTGAGATTAAAAAAAAAAAACTTTGTACGCAACTTTTCAGACCCACCTAAACCATCACTGAAACTGCTGAGTCCATGGCCAGATGTGTTTGAAAATGAGACAGTGGAGTTCCGCTGTGAAGTCCACAGCCCTGACTGGACGATCTCATGGAACAAAGGTGGAAACGAGTCCAGGGACGAGCTAGACGAGATCCAGAATGCAGAGGGCCCATTTCTCAACCTCACCGGGATATATGCCACCTATGAAGGTGGCTACACCTGCAAAGCTCACCTCAAATCAAGGGGAGTCAGCTCTGGATTCAGCAACACAGTCAACATCACAGTTTATGGTAAGCCTTCATGACTCTGTTTAGCATTACCTTAAAATTATTTCAGCTTTCTAAAAGAAAAGGTTTTGGACACTGAGATATTTATCTTTATTATCTTTCGAAGAAAATTAGCTTTTTTTGCAGATTGATACCTTTCTCATAACTGCATGCTTTATAAATATGAAGATACCACCAACGTGCAGTTAGCTTAGCCGAGCGCAGCCTCCTCTTCCCCAAAGCTCACACAACCTGCCCACAAAACCCAAACTGTAAATATGTTGTCAATTGTCTGTTTCAGATCACACTCCTATACCAACGTTGACAAGGGTTCCTGATTTTAACCCGATGTATGTTGGAGAAACCGTGAACTTAAAATGCGAAGTGAATTTGTCTTCCGGCTGGAAGTATCAGTGGTACAAAAATGGAATTGAGCAGCAAACGACGAAGGAAACCAACAGCATCAAGCTTTCTCTTTCTGATCGTGGAAAGTACCAGTGCCGTGCCGCCCGAGGTGAAATAATATCAACGGAGTTCAGTGAAGAAATCAAACAAGATGTACTTGGTAGGTGAAGCCAGAAATATCATATTATTTAAAGCATTTTTGTTAGAAACAGCTTTGACTCAATACCTTGATGCTATTTGTGAAACAATATTTCAAACAATAAGAGCATCCGGTTTCCGTTTTTTGTTTTTGCCATCTCTGTTGAAACAGGATGTTGTGGTGTAGCACGAGGCATTCGTCAACGACTCAGAAAGATGTACTGTATATAAAAATAAAGTGTATTAGTGGTAGAATAGCACTTTTGGTGAGAAAGGACCATTTAAGGGGTGCATTGTCTGCTACTGCAGTAATGAACCACCTGTATGAATAACCTGTTTTAACAGTTGTCATCATTTTGTTTACTAACCTGATTATAAACTCAGTCCAGAATTCTATAATTTAGGGCATTTTTGTTTTGCAATTCTTTAAGAGACTCATGTTATACTTGATTTAGTCATTGCCTTTTGTAACTTCTAGTCTTAACCATGTGAGTATTGCGGTTTCAGTCAACATCATCCACATCATTCTACCTTGGATGCTAAGTTTGCCCGGTCTGTCTTCACACATCTAAGTTTTAATATTCTAATTTTATTTAGTATCCACATGGCCTGCTCGTATGTTACCTGCTGCTGTCATTACGGTTGATCAGGCATTATTCATGAGGCAAATTCAATGAGGCTCTGTTTGATCATCATCTAAATAATGTCATCTCTAACGATATGAACGTTTTCTGACGTGTTTTCCTCTTTCTCTTAAGAAATCCCCGTTCCATCGTCGAAGTCAGCCACGCCGTTGGACGTGTTCCCCGGTGAGAGCGTGAAGTTGAGCTGTGCGATGGCCGGTGGCGCCGACTGGACATTTTCGTGGTTCAAAGACAAACAGCCGGTCCAGCCACATCCTACTACATCCTCTGATGTAGGTGCAGCTACTCTCTCCATCAGTTCTGCTTCAGCCTCACATGGTGGACAATACAGCTGTTTAGGAAAACTCAAGAGCCGGCCTTCTGTCACCAGCACCTCCAGTCCTGAACTAACTCTCAGTGTTTATGGTGAGGATTTATTTTTCCTTCATATGTTGAGTGAAATCCTATTTTCACTTTCTTACCAAAAGTTAGATAGTTCCACTCTTCTATCTGTCCTGACTGACTTTTTAATGAGTTATCTACATTTATCACTAACACCTTTTTTCAAAATCCTATTACTATTCCGTCTTTTCTTAGGAAACCAGCCTAAGCCCTTAATGACTCAAGTGCCAGATGTTAAAATGGTGTACACTGGAGAGTCGGTGTCCTTCGAATGTAAAGTTCAACTCTCCTCTGGTTGGAGGTATCAGTGGTCCAAAGATGGAAAACAACTCCCAAACAACAACATCAGCAGGTTTAACATCCGTCACGCCACTTCTTTGAATAATGGGACTTATGAGTGTAGCGCCATGAGAGACAAAACAATGTACAATACAAGCCACAGTGATGGACGGACCATACATGTATCTGGTGAGCTCAAAGTAATTACTTTGTGTTGAAGTTCATTGCCTGTGTAATCTCAACTTCACTTGCATCAACAAATTTCATGCTTAAAATTGTTGAAAGTAAAAAATCAGTGAGGAGGAGCATAAAAAGGTCTGTTTCCCTCCAGAAATCCCGGTTCCGTCGTTGAAGTCCGTCACACCGTGGTTGGACGTGTTCCCCGGTGAGAGCGTGAAGTTGAGCTGTGCGATGGCCGGTGGCGCCGACTGGACATTTTCGTGGTTCAAAGACAAACAGCCGGTCCTGCCACATCCTACTACATCCTTTGATGTAGGTGCAGCTACTCTCTCCATCAGTTCTGCTTCAGCCTCACATGGTGGACAATACAGCTGTTTAGGAAAACTCAAGAGCCGGCCTTCTGTCACCAGCACCTCCAGTCCTGAACTAACTCTCAGTGTTTATGGTGAGGATTTATTTTTCCTTCATATGTTGAGTGAAATCCTATTTTCACTTTCTTACCAAAAGTTAGATAATTCTACTCTTCTATCTGTCCTGTCTGACTTTTTTATGAGTCATCTACATCTATCACTAACACCTTTTATTACAATCATATTACTATTCCGTATTTTCTTAGGCAACCAGCCTAAGCCCTTAATGACTCAAGGGCCAGATGTTAAAATGGTGTACACTGGAGAGTCGGTGTCCTTCGAATGTTAAGTTCAACTCTCCTCTGGGGTGGAGGTATCATGTGGGCCAAAGATGGAAAACAACTCCCAGACAACAACCGTAAGCAGTTGTAACATAACGTCACGCCACGTCTTTGAATAATGTGTCATATGAGTGGAGTGTCTTGCGAGACTATTGATTGTAGATTGCAAGCCACGGTGAAGGAAGGAACCTGCGTGTTTGTTGGTGACTCCAAAAGTAATTTCTTTGTGTTTGAAGTTATCTCATCATAAACTTGGATCACCATCTTTCTTGCTTAAAATTTGTTAAAAGTAAAAAATCAGTGAGGAGGAGCATAAAAAGGTCTGTTTCCCTCCAGAAATCCCGGTTCCGTCGTTGAAGTCCGTCACACCGTGGTTGGACGTGTTCCCCGGTGAGAGCGTGAAGTTGAGCTGTGCGATGGCCGGTGGCGCCGACTGGACATTTTCGTGGTTCAAAGACAAACAGCCGGTCCTGCCACATTCTACTACATCCTTTGATGTAGGTGCAGCTACTCTCTCCATCAGGTCTGCTTCAGCCTCACATGGTGGACAATACAGCTGTTTAGGAAAACTCAAGAGCCGGCCTTCTGTCACCAGCACCTCCAGTCCTGAACTAACTCTCAGTGTTTATGGTGAGGATTTATTTTTCCTTCATATGTTGAGTGAAATCCTATTTTCACTTTCTTACCAAAAGTTAGATAATTCTACTCTTCTATCTGTCCTGTCTGACTTTTTAATGACAAAATATAAACATAAAATATAAACCTTTATTACTAAGACCTTTTAAAAAATACTTGACTAATACTATGACTTATTCATGATTCTTTTCTTTTCCGATAATTTATGAATACATTTAGCAAAATACTATACTGTGACTTCTTTATTACTTTTTTGATATATTATGAATTTTTGACATACTGCCATTTATCATTTAGTACGTCAAGAAAAAAACCTTACACATCAAAAGAAATCTCAAAAGAAGTCTTCACATAATTTTTTAACAAAGTCAGTATTTATGTCATACATATTGGTTAAAAGTTGTTAATAATAAATAAATAATAAATTGTTGCATAAAACGTGATGCAAAAATGTCATAGTATGTCATACAATTATAATTAAAAAGTAACACACCAGTAAGTCTTGCAAAAGGTAATAAATACATTTAAGTTGGTAAAATGAATGTCAATATGACTTTTAATGAACCAACCAACTATAAAACCCTGATCAGTGTCAGACATTTAAAATGTATTAAATGTATCAATTTAACCTAAAGATGTCTGCATGTGTCCAGTTTAGACAAAGCCACGCAAGCTGGTTGCGCCTGCTTCCAGTCTATATGCTAAGCTTCAATAACCATGACAGCTTCATTTCGTTCTTTTCTTTCTTGTGATAAGGCATAGCATTATTAGCATATGGAAAAAGTAATTTTAAGCATATAGTTAAAGGCCATCTGCTCATATATGTTGTGCAGTGTGATATGCATTTAAATACTGTCATACTCATATTATGTGTCAATATTTTCCCACAGATGCAAAACCCAGAGTCACACTGATGCAGAATCCCATACACAATGTGATGCACACTGAAGAGTCAGTCTCTTTTAGCTGTCACATTAATGTCTCTTCTGGATGGGAGTACCTGTGGCTCAAAGATAGAACATTACTCCCCGAATCTGGAAAAAATCACACCATCGAATCTGTAGAGACAAAAAACACTGGCTCATATCAATGCCAAGCTAAAAGAGGAAGAGGTGCAGTCTTCAGCTCGGACCAGAGTCCGGCTGTGAGACTTGACGTTAAGGGTAAGATTTTGTAAACTTCCCACCACCGTGTGTTTTAATGTTTTCATCACAGCTTCTATTCCTTTTTTACAGAGCGCCCGCAGGCCGGCATAACCCTGTTAACTGGCTGGTCCGAGGTCTTCTCCACGGACAGCTTGGTGCTCAAATGCGAGGTGCACGGAAGTCAGGACATGTGGAACTACACATGGTAATACACATAAAAAAACAACGGGTTAAGGTACAGGGGAACATTCTCAAAATGCATTTGCACTGTGTGAACTCTCACCTTCTTGCAGGTTCAAAGCGGATCAACTCATCAATCTTCTGCCCTCTGGGAAGCACACAGTCACACCCCAGAATGACCCCGAGCAGAGCCAGTACACCTGCCGCGGTATTAGTACCGGTAGACCATCTTATTCAAGAAGGAGCGATTCTCTCCAAACTAAGAACCTTCGTGAGTATAACTGAGGTTTTGAAGCTATGAGTTTTTACCCTGCAAGTGTTCCGTCTCCCTTAACTTTTTTTTGTTTCAGTTCTGAAGAGGAGGGTGCTTCTTTCGATCTCTGGCTGCATCGTCTTTGGCATCGCTGCAGTCTTTCTTGGATGCATCCTCCTCAGAGTCTTTCGCAAATCAGGTTTTGCTTTGTTTTTTTTGGACTTCCTTGTGTGCATGGATTTTAAAGATCTTCCTCAAATCAGTCATAATCAATATGTTAGAATAGAATTGAAACCCAAATCTGGAGCCACCCTCAGCTTTGTGGAGGATTCTCAAGCGAGTTCAGCTCGTTGTTGATCTGATTCTTGTACGTTACGGTTTTGATTGACACAGCTCGCATAGTGCCGTTTTTCAGCAATGAGTTGTTTCTAGCAAAAGAAAAAGCTCCGTAAGCCATTATTACCGGGGGTTTAATATGACACCTAAGAAATGAACATGTTGTTTTAAACTAACAAACAAAAACCACAATGAGGTGACACTTTGTTTTTCTTCTTTTTCAACATAGATGATAGTGAAGACAAGCCGGCGGAGAATGAGCTGTTTCTCACCATGGCTCAGCTGAGGGAACGTGATGGTACGTTGACGCCAGCTCTCATTGCTTGTGGTTTTAGTTACAGTTTCCGGATATGCTGCGAATAGAGCCCAAATAGTGATTCATCACGGAGCCATTTTAGAAATTACCACTGAACTATCGACTGACATTTTACAGCCAGTCTGACTTCCTTAGTTTGCCTGTAGCTGTAAGTGCCTTTGTGTGACAGTTCCTTGCTCACTCCTGCAGATGCAACCTGTCCAATGGTTCAGTACATAACAGATGCGGAACTGAATGCTCCATCTAAAGGTAATGGACCACCAGATAAGGAAAGCAATACAAAAGCTGTATTATTATGCAAGTGTTCTGAACGTTCCCTCACCCACACAAATTGCTTTTTTCTTTAAACAATCGGACCTGCAGAAGCTGACGAGAATGGAACAATTTGCAGTGAGACAACTGAGATTCCAATAACCTCACAAGATGAGCACGGTAATAGTCAAATAAAACATGTGCACTTTTCCAATTTCATATACTCTGTCATGAAAATACCGAGCTCTTTTTAACTATGACTAAATTTATTTATAATTTGTTCCCTTCATGTCTAGTTGTGAAGAGTGAGACCGAAGATGTGACAGAAAAGAACGGCGGGCTGATTTCCTTTAAATAAAGATCAGCTCTTCTTGTTGCCATTTTAGCAGATTTAGCTGCATTTATCAGAATTTAATGGACAAGTGTTGAGAGAATGTTGCTATTGTGCGATGCTTACCACTAGCAGGGCAGCAGGTTGACTTGTCAGCGGTGATCGATAAACGAAAATTTGACAAGATATGCCCTTTAGGGACTGTAAAATTTAATGGGATTAATGGCATTCAATATGACAAATTGCACCCTCTGCCAACAGACATATGCCATATAAATGTGCATTGCTTTTTGATGCACTCTGTATTACCTGATAGCATGATATTAGTTTGTATTGTTGTACATATTTAAAATGGTTAAAGGCAGTTAAAATATGCATTGTTATTTATGTGATAAGAACGAATCATATACATTTTCTAGCTTATTTTGTTTCTCAATTATCAAAAGCACTGTGCGTACAGTATGTGCTGCTCTGCAGGATCATTTATCAAATATCGGGGGCCAGATATTTAAACGATGTGGACTCACAAAAAAAACGTGTACGTCTTTTGTCCCACTCACACAATTAAAGATTGTGTTATCATTTGTTGTTCTGCACAGCCTTCTGTAAGACTTCAATCAAACATGTTTGAAGTTTACACATGTAGCAGCTAAATTTTAAACTATTAATTCAGTAATATTGGTTTATTGATTATTTTTGTTAAGGCCGTGTCGCCGGTGATAATGATGACAGATATTACTGTGATTCACAGGTACATGTGGTGAATTAGTTGCATGAGTGGATATTGTTGACTCATCTGGCCCCCGTTGTCAGTAAATGTAAGTTAGTCTCATATTTAACAGTAAAGGTTTCAGCAATTAATCGTATTACATGTTTCATTACATTTATCTAAAGTGAGTGATTCTACAAATATGATATTCAAGCATTTTGTGTCTCCCTATGAAGTTATCGGAATAAAAAATACAAAATGATGCAATGAGTGTTCATTCTAGCTGACACTGATATGCAACTGCAGGAAACACAAGTTTGACCAATGTGGATTTAACAAATAGGCCAGTTTGTGGTTCAGTCAATGGGAAGATCCTCTCCATCATGTGCAACTACAGCCAAAGACAGACAGAAAAGATGGTCATTAGACATTCAAAATCAAAGGTAGGTTGTTTTTTTGATTTGATTTGATGAAGTATAGAGCCCATATAGAACAAACGGGAACCTTCCCAACTCACATCTACTTGAGGATATCAGTCAGTTTCTCTACATAGTAGTCGTAGTTCTCCTGACAGTCCTCCCAGGCTTCGAAGTTCTGGTCCTCCTTCTCGACATACGTTTCCCAAACATGTACGAAGTCAGACGGCTTCATCATTCGCAGTTTGCAACCAGCGCTCACCAAAGCCCGGAGCCCTTCCACTATCTCCGGCTCCTCCCACTCGAAGAGACGGGAGCAGAACATGCGGAGACGGACCTTCTTGCGCTGCTGGAGGATGTGAGCCAGCTTGGCTGCACAAGCCACACAGGGACTGGATGAAAGATACCATGTGACTTCATACTCCTGGGAAGTGTTAGGGAGCACCTGGAAATAACACAGTAGAGGCATAAAGGAGATCAAATATGTATATATATGGAAAAAATAGGAAAGCGGAATCATAAACTAATGAAAATCAGACCTCCATTGGGGTTTACATATTTGTTACATGTGACCATTTGTTACCTGTTGAAAGAAGGCCTCTTCAGCGTGAGCTGTGGCATGTTCATCCTCCATATAACCCTTCAGAGGCTCTGTACTGCCTCCTGGTGTATCAACCCTGAAACACAGCAGGGTCTTGTTCCTCCCCGAGGAGTACTCCACATTCCTGAACTGAAACTTGAAGTAGAACGGGCTCATCTGTTCCCTGGTGGAGATTGAATGAAATAGTTCTCATAAAACTGTAAAGCTTCATGAAGGTTGACGTAGCAAGACAGAGCACAACTTCTCTACCGGCAGTGCTTTCAACGTTATTTGTTACCTTTAATCATTTAATCATCATAATCATCACTTGCTCGTCTGACAAGGTGCACATTTTGTGAGGTATTTCTCAACGCCAGAAGACACAAAAAAAAATAAAAAGAGTGATGATTGTGGGTCTGTGAAATAGTCTGTAGTGGCAGCGTGAATAGATTAATGAGGCCACCACTGAGTAAACTGTTGTTTCTATAAATATTTTTGGCTTTCACATCATCCGATGATCTGTAGATGAGTCAGGCACCTACATGAGTCAACTGTACAAGACGCATACCCGTCGTGGCTTTCTTTTTTTATCTATTGTCATACTGTGTATCAAAGGCCAGATGGATTTTGCAATCAGATCTCATATCAAACAGCCACGTAAAGGACATCAACTTTGGGAAGTGTGACTCAGCGGTGCTAAATGTGAATCAGTTAGACATAAAAAACGACTTCATTTAAAAAATAAAGCAGAAACTAATCCCAAAAGTGGATTGTTACAGAACAAAACAGGTGTGTAAGTGGAATAGCTGACCCTTGTGGTCTACGTATTAAATCTTACTCACCCAGTTACAATCTCAAACGGGGGCAGTTCAATTGGCTCAAACTCTCCATTTTCTTCGCTGTTTGTCGCCTCTGCTCCCGTTGCGCCTCCGCCTTCCCCGTTCCTCTTCTCTTCATCCGTCTCGGGCTGCCCGGCGGGTTTCTCCGCCTTCATCAAAGGTGCGTCGGAGTTATTCACTTTTTTTTCCTTCCCCTTATCCTTTCCTTTCTCCTTCACTTTTTCTTTTTCCTTCCCCTTGGTCTTTTCTTTTTCCTTCTCATCGTTTGTCTTGTTCTCTGACTTCTTCTCCTTCCTCTTAACGGTGACCCTGCTGTTTCTGTCGGCCATGGCTGTGAGGGAGCAAGTGAGAGGGAAGGAGGACGAGGGAGAGGGAGAGAAATAGCTCGGGGCAAGTAGAGTGATAACCCGAGTGCATTTACAGAAATAGATCCTATTGTGCGTCGGGGGTTTGGAGTATCAGCGTGTGCCTGTCTGGTCGGGGTAGTCGGTAGGTTAACACCCCCCCCCCCTCTTTCCATGACCCGGCTGTAAAGGCCAAAGAACAACACAGGAGTGAGGTTTAGCACGATGGAATAAAGGAGACAGACAGAACATATTTCTAGGGCATTTCACACAGATGGCCAGTAACAAAAAGAAGGAGAACCAAGATACTCTGTGTATAAAAGTACAACCTCAAAACAAAACAAGTGGCGTCTCTTTAATCCAAAAGGCTTTTACTGTCAACAGGCCAGCAGCAGCCCAGGTTATTAATAAAGGCGCTTGGCTGCGTTTGTCTCTGTGTATAAGGTAACCAGGGGTCTCTTGATACTTAACGGCACACTTGTTTGTGCCAACTCAAAAGTCCTGCCGGCCCGCTAGACGTAACTAGTACACAAAGGCCAGCGAGTGGGGGAGGAAGCCGTACACACGAACCCCACACGTGTAGATACACTACTCACAGGACGGAGACACGCGAGTGCCACAGTGTGTTAATACGCTCCTGTGCCGCGGCCTTTGTGTAAGGAAAATTGCTTTGTGTAAATTTGCATGTGTGCGTATAGAGAACGGCTTTGCGACTGCAGATGTAATAACTTTTAAGGGAGAAAGGGGGCGGGGGGGTGGGGGGCAGTTCAATTACAATTTCCTTACTTCCCTCAGTCTCACTCTCTGTCAAGTCATTCATTTCAGAGGCCATTAGGAATAGGACCGCATGGGCAGCCTGCTCAGCTAACTCCAATGGATGAGCTGTCACAGCCGGGGAGGGGGACGGGGGGGACACTTCAAGCAGCTCCACACACATTCACAAACAACAACACAAGCAAAAACACTTTTCAAAGTTAAAACACGCTGATATCGAGGGACATCCCGCAGCGATAATGTTTTGAATTGCAGCGATCTTTGACAATTATGAGCTACGGCGGAAAGCTCTTTGCACTGATTAACACACTTCATCAGCAGCGGTTTTCAAACAACGTCCAAAACAGCCACACTGAGACAAAAGATGCGTAATCATCGTGATGAGATCAATTACAATTCCTCCACAGCCACTCAACTTCGCATTGATTTTCCTCACAAACCATCAATGAATTGAACACGTGTGCGCCTCCTGATGCAGCATTACAACTGAATGGCCACCAAGTGGTGGCCATCTATTTCTAAGCGAGATGGTTTTGGACTGGAGAGAAGGACCGCGTAGGACGTGACTGCTGACCGCTGACTCAGATTTAACTGTAAATGGAATTACATGCAATTACCCGAGCTGCCTCCCCACTGGCAGGGCCAAGACTGCCTGAATGAAGGCGAACGCACACTCCAATGTTCACTGTTTCTCCCTCCGAGTGAAGCCCTGCAGAGAAATTTCAAAATATGTCATTGAGGTCTGACAAAGCAAACGTTCTGCCACGTCCACACAGCCTCCGTTCAAAGGCTCAAACCAATTCTAATTTCTGAAAGCTCAGAAGTAGAAAATGGACATTGAATAAAATATACTAATGAATAAAATTAAATTGACCTCCACTCTGACGGGGCAAACGCAGAGTTATAAAGAAAATATTAATTACGGTAAAATAACGTAATTATACTCAATGCCGATTTTTTGATTTTCTCCATTCGCAATATAAAAAAACATGCAACATATATGCATGAGTGCACCTGTGCGTTAGCAAGTGAAAGTTGTTTATTATGATGAGGTGATGAGGCATACATACAGAAAGAGAAAAGATTAAGTGGATGATGCACCAATATACTGTTTTGCAGCTGACGGTTCAGACATCTCGGGTTATTATATATCAGTTAGAACAAATCAGCTGCTACAATATGCAAAGACGTACTATTTGGTTATTCTCGGCGCGATGCTTGTGCACAAACACAAGCTCTGTTTGAGACTTAAAGAGAGCCGAGGCTTGGTGGTCTTGGGGTTATCTGAAGACCTTTATAAGGAGAAATAAGGCCAAAGTAAATGCTTTAGTATTGATCTGCTCCCAGTCCTCCTGGCCTGCAGAATGTAGTAGTAAAGCCCGTATTCAGGCTACATGGTTAACAGATAGAAATCCGCACTGTCTCTTTAGAAGGACAACTGAAATTCTGGATAACATGGATAGATCATTCCATTTCACATTGAACGATGTGTAGCATGAGTACCACGCTATGCTGCTGGCCCAGTTTCCTTCGAGAGGAAACCTTGAAGAGGTTAGTATCCAATAAGTAACATTTCCTGTGTTTATAAAGTCTTCAGTTGCTATTTAGGTAAAAGAAAAGCTCCGCTCCCTAGCTTTAAGTCCATAATAATCTGTAGTTTGCCTTGAGGTAGATGAGCGTCTCCAGGTTTTTTGGCAAGACGCGGCCTATCTCCGGCCGCAGGCAGCGCTCTGCGGCCGTAAAAATGCTCTCGATCGCGGTGCCGCAAGCAGGTATGGTGAACGCCCTCTTGGCCACGTGAGCGAGCAAAGGAAAGTCGATTGCTTTACGCTGCCAGTAGTGCAGAGCCTCCTCGTCCGTGGGTTCCTCTCGTAGGTAGACGGCCAACTCCTGCTCCAGGCTCTTGGCCTGTGTTGTGGGTCTCTGCTTGATGAAAGAGAACAGCTTGCAGGGCCGGGAAAGCGAGGAGGCCGGTGAGGGAGCTGCAGCAGGAGGGGTCTGGGATTGAGGGTGGAGGTTTGTGTGGGGCTCTGTGGGGCCGGAGCCTGCGGAATGTTTGGACAACTCCTCTACGAGAACTTGTCTGTGCCAGTCAGGGTTGCTGCTCCAAGTGAGCTTGAACTGGGGGTCCAGCGTGGTGGCGGTAATGTAGAGAGGGTCCTCCAGGACAGGCGCCAACCGGCGCTCTACGGCCTGGCTGAGGCCCACCAGGAGAGAGGGGCAGTGCGGGGTCGAGGTCTCAGAGAGGTGCTTACGAAGGCCGAGAACACAAGGCAGGGCCAGGCTGATGGACACGTGTCGGTCCGTGTGCGTGTCTGCCTGTCTGTCCCCATGCACCATGTCCCAGGCCTCAGTGAAGGGTTCCAGCGTGTCGGTGAGGTCCCTCAGCAGGCCTCTCTCCGAAGCACCCAGCGCCGCCTCTCCTGGACCGCTCACCTCCTCCAGGAACTCCACCGAGTCCAGCAGCCGACGCAGCACCTGCATCGCCAATGACACCAAAAAATGCACCTTCTCTTTAAAACTACCAAAACATACAATACGATGACAAAATCAAGAGCCCAGCGGACCCAGCTACATAACCATGCAATGAAATGTATGTTATTATGGACACACACGCACACTGGTCACACTAGATAATAACCTCTCTCTGGCATTTATAAGGAGTACAAGCTACTTAATAAAATAGTTTACATGCATTAAAAACTGACAGTGTCCTATTAGTGCACATGTTCTCATGTGTTGTGTGGTAGATAATGTAAAGCCCTGCGTCTGTACGGCACACACCTTGAGCTGAGCAGCCCAGTCTCTTGCTACAGGAGGGGAGTTTCCTGGTGCCCTCATGCTCAACCCAGGACCATTAAACACTTGGCTGAGTTTCTCAGGTGGGACGGCGGAGGTGATGTAGTTGTAGAAACAGGCCGCCTTGGACAGCGTGGAGGTAATCTGCGGACAGGAGCGTAACCCCTCTCTGACACACTGTTCAAGAGAGCGAGAGAAACAGTCCACGCGACAGACACCCAGGCCCTGGGCCCAAAGGTCCTCCCACTCTTCTTCCTCTCGTCCATCACCATTCCGGATCCCTCCCTCCACGTTGGTACCATTGTCCACTTCTTCCCCGCCCTCTTCGTTTTGCCCGTTAGCAAGAGAGGGTTCAACCAGGAAACCGGGTAAACAACACGGCTTTGCCGCTGTTGTCGTTGCCGCTGCCAGGAAATAGTCCGCGACCACCCGGAATGCTCTCCCCGACACGCCGTGCGAGTGACACACTTCATCAAAATCGGAGAGCACGCGGTTCCCAGAGCTGCCTCCGGTCAGGGGAAGGCACGCCAGCAGAGCGGAGTGCATCTGCCAATCGGACGTGAGAAAGTGACAGGTGACACCGACGTACCTGCGCACGCAGAGAGAGAGACTCATTAGTTAGGGAATCAGACGGAGAAGGAATCATGTGGTCTCTTGGCTGATTTTACCTCCTTACCCTGAAGTGGCTCCAGCTAAGCCCCTCCAGAGATCCAGGCTGAGACTGAGGGCGTGCGCCGAGGCCAGTGCCTGTCGGGTTGCCAGCTGCGCCTGGTAGACGTAGGCCGGGAGGAGCTGGCTGTTGATGTAGTGCTGCGGCTCCGGGGTGTAACGCGGCTCCAGGAGCTGAAGCAGCTCTCTGAAGCCTTGGTTTTCCACTATGGACACTGGCTGCAGATCACGCACAATCATCTTCGCTATGGCCTCGGAGATCAGGACCTGTGGGGACAAAAAGAAACGTTGCAACAATCACACGGTAATTAATAAGGATGCTGTCAGCAGCCGATGGATGTGATCGACAGCAGCTATAGGGTCCTTTGAATATCAACTCATGATGGATTATAATACGCACCTGACGGGGGTCGTGTCTGTCAAACTTGGTCACCCCTCCGCCAGAGCCACCTCCTGCTGCAGCCTCTAGAGTTCCCACTCCTCCAGCACCTCCTCCTCCTCCAACTCCCACGCGAGTGCTGATGGGGAGGGTGTAGCGGGTGTTCCCCCCGTTTGTGGGGAAATTGTGCGCAGAACCGGAGGAGAAGCCCTCTCTCTTCATGTCCTTCCTTTTCACAAAGTCATCATACATGGCCTGGTGCTTCCGCTGAAGAGGGAGACACACAGAGGGAGGGAAGAGGGGGGGTTGTTATTGGTCGGCAGTTAGAACAGTAGATGTGTAGCCAATATCTCTAGTCCCACATTGCCTTGTTCTAACATCTGTGCAAGAGGATGCAGCATGGCTAGAGGAGCAGTCGGGTGCATGCAGGTGAACCACCGTGTGAGGCCAGCTGCTCCTTCCTGCACAGAAATACGATGGGAAGAATAAAGACATTTCATTCTAAAGGATTACCTTGAGATGCGTTACGAAGTTGGACGTGACGCTGCGCTTCGCCTGGATCCTCGTGCCGCAAGCCTTGCAGTTGGACTCGATTTTGCCATTTTCACCTTCGAACACAATATTAAAGTAATCCAGGATAGACACCTTCGAAACTGACGCCATTGGAGCACACGGCCGCTCAACTTGCGATCGGAGAAAAATCCCCAGTGCGAGGTATCAATCTCCCCCCACCCCTCTGCCAGGGATCATGAGCGCAGGCCGGCGTGTTTACTTCCCAATTCCTGCTCGCACATCGAAAATGCGCATGCGAGTTGCGCTGGGCAAAATAAGAGGAAAACAAATGTGAATTCAGGGCAGGACTTGCGTGGCTTTGCGCGTCCGAAATCGGCCACGGTCTCACCAAACGGGCCGGCGGCGGGTGTCTGGAGACATCGATGCGCAGAACAGTGGTGCGCGCGGTTCCTGCGCTCCCATCCGCTGCTAGGACGCAAGCGGGGAGGAGGCGCAGCGCGGCGCACAGCCAGTAGAAGAGGACCAGGAAGTACGCGAGATAACGAGAGTCTCGTTTCGGTAGTTTCCGGTAATGTTCGGGTGATCCCCCGAGAAGAGGGGGGCCATTATTCTCCGATGGAATAATTGCAATTCAAATTTTAGATTAAGATTTGGATTTCTGTATTGCCAATGAGATTTAAAAAAATGAATTAAACATTCCAGTGAATTGAATACTTAAAAAAAAAATGATTATGGGAATATGGAACCCAAATATTAAACTAAAGACAATTTGGTGCAACTCTTTAAAAGTAATGGTTAAGTCGTTAACCATTTTCTACGAAAAAAAAAAATTACTACATTATTACTAAATTTAAAAATATTTGTAACCCTATTTAAATGATTTTTTTTGTCAAGCAATCAACAATGAGTTTGTATTAATTTCTCAGATTTTATCTAGTAAATATTAGCAAATCATCAATAAATAAGTCTGATAATGCAATTGACAACGCCTTTAAAAAGGATGCCATTAATTGAAAAGAATCAAACAAGTCTGTTTATGTTCATAAATAGATATTGCAGTCTACAACATACAATTTATTAAAAACACTAAAAGACAGCATTCACAAACAGATCCATCTCAAGCGAGCCACACATTGATGAGTGAGACAATACGAACGCACAGGGTAAAACATAACCGATTACTATTTAGACATTGAGTAACTGAACAATCCTCTGCAATCTCTACTTCGTTATTCACCGTGGGAGATTGCTGTCAAATTCAATTGGCCCTTGCGCATCATCTAGCGACTCAGACCACTGTCACGGTCTCAGACCATCTCCAGATGTGACTCAGAGTTGTTCAGTCTGCCACGCTGTCCAACTGGGTTGCTGAAGCTTCCTCGTGTTTGTGCTTCTTGCTGTGCTTCAGCTCCTGTCTGGTGCTTAGAACTGCAGTCTGAAGGGTTGCAATTTCAGCAGACAGCTCCAGAACTGTAGAGTAACAGAAAAAAAAGAGGAGAGTAGATGAAGAATGATGAAAATAAATCAAATGAAGAAATAGTTTGCAGTAGAGCAACTGTTTCAGAGGTTTCATCTTGCACACATTCATAAAAATACTTATCACAGATACAATTACAATATTTTTTCTATGCACCTAATTAGGAGTCATATAAATTTGCAAGGTGTGTGATTTCTATCAATACATTGACAATTTTGTATTCAGAAATAAAATGATTTTTTTTTTAATGGAACGTCTTAGTAAGAAGTTTAGACTTTGAAATTACTTAATCTATGGCAAAAGGGTAAGATCTTCAACTACTCTACCCTTTATCCGAAATGTATTGATCCATTCACGCGAACATGAGATTGAGGCAATTTCTTTGAGTATACACATGCAGTTTTGCATACATTGGATTCCTACAAGCCAATGAGGCCTTAAAAGCTATATTGAGGGGGAATAACAAATTGGAATTTAAGGTTAAGACTGCAGCGATTCTTAAAACTGATATGAATAGTGACGTCATTACATCACTATTTAACAATATACGTTATCAACCTAATTGAGTTTCTTTATTTGGTTTCTGTATGAAGTTGCCGGTGTTTTTCTTCATACCAGCATATTTGTAAAATGTAAATGTTGAATTTGTGAAGCAGTTTTTTTCTTAACTTAGCTAGCACGCACAAATCCAAATGATGACGCAATGTTTGCTGTATTTTAAAGAAATTACATTAGCACATCAAATGCTTGACAGCTTTATATAGAAAACCAAAGGAGGACATAATCTGTTGGAAAAAAAAAAAAAAAACATACCTTGCTTAAATGACAACTGTGCATGTTTGAGGGACTGGGGCACTAGAATCCCAAACCATTTGAGTGGATCTTGCTGGAGATTCTGGTCGCTTTTTGTTACTGGAGTTACTTCAGGAGCATTCTCACTGCTCGTCTCTTCATTCACCGCTTTCTTTGTAATATCCTCTTTTGGTTTGATTCTTCTTCTGACACCTACACAACCAAATCATTTAAGAAATCAATCTTTTTGGTATAAAAACATCCACTTTTTGAACCCACAGGACATAAGGCCGACTCACCTTTTTCTTGAGGTCCAATTTCCTCTATTGAGCGGTTATCTGCTCCGACCTCCTTGCAACACTTTTGTTCGAACCGTTCTGTGGAAAAATCCAACTCACCACTGTCCAGTGTTCTGTAACACATAAATGAAAAAAATTAAAAAATAAAACATATATTGATAGTCAAAAACGGATTGGAATCATTCATTTCCGTGAAACTTGTGAAACTAATTCCTCACTTGGCATGAACAAGGACCAGTGGCTCCATCTCACTCGCATACTGCAGTGGAGAGACGTGTTTGTTTCCCATAGAATATCGAGCCTTGGACATTGAAAACCATCCCTGTAGGCAATATGAGATGGTACGTTAAGCGTGTGTGGAGACCAAAGCATTCATCTCATTCCAACGGGCTCAATGTAAAACATTGTTTTTTTCTACGTTCATTGACACACAAGTGTGGACTCCTGCTACGCGGTGTCCTCTGTGTGTAACGTTACCTGCTCGATGAGAGAGTTGAGAGAGGCTCGTTTCTCCTCCAGTAACTCAAGCTGCTCCATGAAACGGAGCAGTTTTTCGTCCAATAACGTAGAAGATCCCTCAGATTCTGAAACACCCATGTTGATATTTTGTTATATTTCAAGTGTATTTGTGTACAGTCTTTACCCCGGTCGCTTCCTCTAAGAATTTGTCGTTTATAAACACCGAGGACGAATTGCTTCCGTGTAGCGTCATGTGACACATAGCGTCACGTGATACAAATCTCATTGAAGTCTACACACAGTGCAACACAATTATGTTACCGTAGAATTACAACAGTTTTGATTGTATTGTATTGTGATATGTATGAGTCATTTATTGATATTTACAATCATAAGATACAAAAATGTTGTTCCCATACCGGGAGTCGAACCCGGGCCGCCTGGGTGAAAACCAGGAATCCTAACCGCTAGACCATATGGGAAACTAAATTGAAGCAGTGTGTTAGAAAGAAAAGTGTGGGTGAAATCGGTGTTGCAGCATATGGTGCGGAGGGTCATTATCGAACAAAGCAGCAGCAACCTAGTGTCCTACGACATATAATCCAGCGAGGAAACTATGCAACATCATAGAAGACGTATAGTAATGTTATTAGGATGCAATGCGTAGTTGGGCCACGATTATCTTACTTGATGTAATAATATTAAATATGTTTGCTAATTGTACTGAACTCTACCATTTGATGTTATATAAATTACATTGTTACTGTTTTTTAATTCTGTTTTCCGCTTAACGCGTAATGTCAACACCTCACAGCATCTCTCCCGTGTTGAAAAAGCGTATTGAAGGGGCCTCCACCACAACTCCCCGTAGCTCGCCGTGATCGTATAGTGGTTAGTACTCTGCGTTGTGGCCGCAGCAACCCCGGTTCGAATCCGGGTCACGGCAGGGATGAAACCCTGACACGGCTTGGGAGGATTACATTTTGTATGTTCATTCTAGATCTCTTATATAATATCATTCAAGGCAGGCCACAAAATAGAGCTAATGTCGACAGGTAAAAACTTTTGTGAGTGAGGTGCCTGTGTAATTTCATTCAGGGACTAGAGTTGCCATTTCCAGGCGGTTTGGACAATTTCAGTTGAGCAGAAATCATCCGTTGCCTCGAACAGCACCATCGGGGAAATAACGTTGCTTGGAGAAAGTTAACAGCAAACGTTTTTATTTTCAAATGCAAGACTTTCTTTACGGTGGTGAAATGGTACAAACCTCTTGTCGTAAAGAGAGGGGGCGGCATTTTGGCGTAAACGATCGTTCTTGATTGGCTGTTGTGAATGGCAAAGTCCATGTTCCGAGGTGATAAGCCAATCAAATGACGAGCAGATCGCATGTGCTAGTAGCTCTATGAATACAGCCGTGCGATTGGTCTTTGTAATCAAAGTCCCCTCCCCGGCTCGCGAGACTTCCGCGTTTGAGTGTATATTCGTTGATACATCATGTAGTTAGACAGATTTGGTCTATTGGATCTCCGAGATATTTACATTTTTTGACTGATCTCTTCACTGAACACTATTTTAATACAGTGGAAAAACTGGACAGCCATTTTAATAGTATCACAGGTAAGAGGAAAGAGTTGCACATGCTTTATTTATTCTGTCAGTCTCTTTCCCCTAAAGATTTTACTCTAATTGTATAGTTTGTACATTTGTGGGGAAGACCTGACGTTTATAGATTCAGTGCAGTTTAGTGAGCTACAAAGAAGAGAGTCACCATTTTTACATTAAACTTACCTTATGTATGTGCATACTCTTTAATACCAAAATATTGAAATCAGTCTATTTCAAGCCTATACTTTGGATGAACAGCTGTTTGCTATCCTGTCTTGAAACAGATGATGGACGCCACTGGAGTTCTTCATCCCTACTGGCCACGGGACCTCTTGATTCCCACCTATGTGGCCAATGACCGATCCATGTCAGAGATTCTGGTGTTCCTGTTTTCTGTGTCCGGGGTGTTTCTGCTTGTGACCTGGCTGATCAGCGGACAGAACGGGACCACCGGCAGGCTGGGGACGTGGAGGCGTCTGGCCGTGTGCTGGTTCGCCGTTTGTGGTTTCATCCACGGCGTCATTGAGGGATGGTTCTCGCTGTATTATGATGTCATTCCAGGAGACCAGAGCTTCCTGTCACAGCTGTGTGAGTGCAAACAAGAAAAGTGTTAAGAAAAGTGCATGAACTGCATGAGTCAATATGTGTTTTTATATTTTCTCTCACAGGGAAAGAGTACTCCAAAGGAGACAGTCGCTATGTAATGTGAGTTCATCCTTTGCACAGAACTATGTTGAACGTTTTTGAAAGAAAAGGAATAGAGCATTAGCTAATTGGCTGCATACCTTGCATATTTCTAGAGCGGATAACTTCACTGTCTGTATGGAGACGGTGACTGCATGGTTATGGGGACCTTTCAGCTTTTGGGCTGTGTATGCCTTCTTAACTCAGAAGTCCTACAGGTTTGTTCTGCAACTCATCATTTCATTAGGTAAGAGGGTTTAAATTACAAATGAAACTCATCACTTAACATTTAAGCAACTTTCAATCGGATTACTTGTTTTTTTATGCACGGGTCTCATCACATAATCTGATTCCAGGTCAGCTGTATGGAGCAGTGCTTTACTTCTACACAGAGCACAGAGATGGTTACGCTCACAGTGAGTTGGGACACCCGGTCTATTTCTGGTTCTACTTTGTGTTCATGAACGTGCTGTGGATCGTCATACCGCTTGCGCTCATTGTGGATGCATGGAGACACCTTTCAGCAGCCCAGACACACGCTGACAACAAGAAGTCTAAGAGGCACTGACAGCAGGAAGAACCGACTGTGGGACTGTAGGACAATTACTACATGAAGCGCTTGGGCAAAAGTCAACTTTGAAAAGCACTACGTTCAAAGATGGAACATTAAACCGTTGAACCTATGGTGTGTCATGTTGTGTCTGTAAACATATTTTTTAAAGTGCAATTTATTCCTTGTGTCTACAACAATAAAGCCTAAGTAGTTGTTTTATGCTGTTCTAAGTCCTTCAATTAGTTATAATTAAATGTCTTAAAAAACCCACGACTGTCAATTTCTAACCTTCCAAGACCCTTGACAAAGCGGTCACTAATCTATTGTGTGACTTTGTACATAAGTTTATTTGACGACTTTCACTCAGGATTTAAAGTTCACCATAGCACAGAGATGGCACTGGTAACATGAATGATTGACCTTCTCTTCTTGTTTTGTTTGACCTAGTATAATGTTTGAAAGGATTCGCACTATTCGCAATACCTTATGTTTATACTTTAATATTCACAATGCCTTTGTTTAATTTACGTCATAACGGTGGCTATTTCAGTGGCGGGCTTTGAGATAATTCATCTACTGCAGTGATTTAATATGAAAAATGAACTTTTAATGCTAATGCGATTCATACTTCAAAACAAGGTAGTAGATACATAAATAAGTTGAAGTGTGTTTCGTTTTACAAAACGGAGACAAAGAAAACACAGTTTTCATATATTCAGGTGGCAAACCATGTAGACGTTACACTTTTAGAAATTACGAACGTTAAAAGTTGTTTTTACACGTTCTCTATAAGTTTTATTAGACCGTTGAGCGCATGTGCGGCGCCGAAATAGCTCAGTTGGGAGAGCGTTAGACTGAAGATCTAAAGGTCCCTGGTTCGATCCCGGGTTTCGGCATTTTGGCTAATTGTCATTTTGAACGTAACAAATATAGATATTACATAATTTATTGCTCTCACAAAATACCACCAATCAACCATCATGGTGGACGAATAGTCAATCGTGTTTAGGAAGATTTGTAACTGTGGAATTGCCTGGAAGTAGTGGGTGGCCGCCATGATAAGAGCTGCTCGATCTCTCTAAATGCGAAGGAAAGGAGCTTTAATGCTTCTCCGCTTAGTTCCTTCAGCATAAGAACCATTCGGCCATACTCTACGAAAGAATTCCTTGCGGTGGCAATATTTTAATTTCGCAGCTCCAGACTGACGTCACTGACATGCGCCTCGCGTCGCAGCATATGAACGTAGCCTAGTGACGTTTTTGGTGGTATAAAAAGTATTAAATAAATACACTCATTTGTAAATGTTTTTTGTCTGAGTGACGTGACACGTGGCAGCAAAGTGCTGGGCCACTTATATTTACACAATTTAAAGCCTTGGTATATAATGGATTGGGAGAAAAAGGTCCATTCATTCCATTTGACTTTTTAGCTGATGTGGTTGTTGTACATATACTTTCATTTAATAGTGAATTAATGAGAAGAAAAATACCCATAACATACAGATAACATTGACAATAAATGTAAAATATATCAGCTGAACATTTTGCTCAGTCTCAGCCCCATTTGAGCATTTTTCTCTTTCTCTCTACTTGCTACGCCTTTAAGTGCCTTCAGACCAGCGGGGGATTCTGGCTGTAGCTCCAACAGTTTCATAAAGGCCTGCCTGGCCTCCTCCAGCTCATTCAACATCTGGCAAGCTTGGCCCAGCCGATACCAGGCTTTAGCCCCACCCGGCTGCAGATGAGTAGCTTTAGTCGCACTGGCCTTTGCCCGCTGGGGTTGGTTCAATTTCAGCTGGCACAACGACATGTTTGAGTGGAGCTCTGCTTTAATGATTTTCAATTCATAAGCTGAAGGAAGTTGCTGCGTTTCGTCACTGGCGTTTGTGTCTCTCTGCTCCTCTGCTCCTTGCTCTTGTCCTTGTCCTTTCTTCCCAACCTCTGTGGCATAGGCATAGCCAAGGCCATGGAGAGTGATGAGAATCTTGAGAGCCCGGCTGTAGCTGTCTGCTGCTCCCCAAACATCACCGCGCCGGAATCTCACTCCGCCCCTCTCTTTGTGGGCCTTCAGCCACTGACACTTTTCGACAGGAGACATTGCCCACGATTCCTTGCCTGGTGTAAAAGCTTTGAGTTCAACTGTGGCCCATAAAGGGGGATCGGGGACAGAGACATCTGGTCCTTTTTCCAATGGAGAAATAATTATCTGAAAAGTGAAATCCAATGATTAGAGTGGCTGGTCTACACCACATCTTTTGCATTTAACATTAAAAAACACAACGAGGATTATTTATAACGGTTTTATCAAAGCAAAATCGCTTACTCAAAATGTTGAGTACATGTTGAGTCTCACAGTATTCAAAATAGCTTTTTTGTCACACCTTGTTGAAATATTAGGTTCCATTTTTTAATTTTCAGACATTTCAGGGTGACCTGATGGCATCAATCATGGCGTCATTATAACGCCCAGTCCAAGTGCAACCCAGATCACATACACCAAGCAAGTACTACTCAGAGGAAGTAGTATATATTACAAACGTATACACTTTTGTGATATATATGAATGAAAACATTAGGATCATGTGATGTGATGGATTTTTGTCAGCTTTTTCTTTCAATTTGCATCGAATTTGTGTCACTAAAGCGAAAAAAACAGTGACATTGTATTATAATGCCAGTTCTCATTACACTCTTACCTCACACTTCTCTCCGGCTCGCATCCCTTCCACACATGCTTCTGTGATGTCACACTGACCCTCTCCCAGCCTCAATGTTGTCCAGTCACCCAGTGGGACCTGTAGCACAGAGTCCTGGCATCTTGGGAAGGCTGTGGCCTCTGTGACACATCGGTCGGGTTGGACTGACTGCCACTCGTTTCCCTTTTCCGAAACTAAACTCTGTGCTTCATCGGGATTCGCTTTCAGCCGCACTCGGACTTGACACAGCGAACCCAACCGTGGAAAGTCACTGGATGAACATGCTGAAAGAGACAAAGAGAACGTTTGAGTGCTAGAATACAAGTTACTCAATAACAGTGGATTTAAAAAGTTGTTTTTTTTAAAAGAAGAAACTGGTAGAAAAGCATCATACATGCTCCATCTCCAGAATTTGAATCGGTCTGTTGACTCCATTTATGTGGCTGCTTTTGCTGGACTTTCCAGAGGCCTCTGGGACAGACGGACACCCAAGACGCGACGTCATCGCCGTGCAGGGTTCCACAAAGGCGACCAGAATCCATCTGCATTTCATGAAAGTATTAAAAGATAAATGATGATCATATCCTTTGTTCAGACATCTTAATAAATTGCTCCATGAAATCAGCGTTTGGAATAGAATCAAATGAAATCTCAACCTCCCCTGTGGGGTACAGACACTGGGGAACAAGCTGGGACAGGAAGTGGGCTGAAGAAATGACACGTGACGGGTTTAATACCGACCTACCTCGCAGCCACAACGGCAACATCTAAACATAAAGGAATGTCTTTTAATTAGTGTTGTAGTTAACTTTAGTCAAGAAAGCTACATGTTCGTTGTAAACATTATTGAGAGATTTACAATCAGTATTGCAACGTATTAAACCATGCGAGCACCCGAAGTTACAGACATGTACCGTTTAGCTTAGTCCGCGTTCTTCACACATTTCAACGGCAACGTTGGCTATTTTTTTAAATAAATGATTCACGGACACAAAGAAAATTCGAGTCCGGTAAATGTACTGGGGCGTAGAGGTCTGTGATTTAATCATTACTGCTAAAACGTAATGTAGGAAACAGCACCACTGTTTCCTACAAGTAGAGGAAGCTCAGACAGGATGACGTTAGCTTGTGTTAAGTGCAACATTAAAAAGCGTGTACATTACCTCACACATAATGCGGATACGAAGTTAAAATAATCCCTCAATACGAAACTAATAAACTGTCAGATGGTGAGAATATAACTAATAATACAAACGAGATGGACTTTTCGCATCCTCCTTTCTCTTCTTCTTCTTCTGCTTTGGAGGCTTTCTTCTTCGTGTGAAATGACGGGCGCGACGTCTGTTTGAATTGGCGCCCTCCACCGTCCTGGAGAGTAAAGACAAATCCTAAATATCCATGAAATGAACCCCTTTCTTTTTATTGTGCGTGTCAGCAAAAGAGGTGTTTAAACTTCAGGATGACTTGAAAACAGCCTGAACCAGAGGCTTTGTTGCTGTTATTAACTTATATCAATTAAGTGGATTTCTTTCTCAAAACTATTGTGATCTTGCTCAGATACATTTTTGTCCTCTAATTTCTGGCCCGCGGTAGTGCAGGCACATGTTAACATTTTGTGTGCGTGTTTAATGATCTCATCTCATAACAACACATTCTACAGTTTATCCTCAACCTTCAAACATAATGCTTAAAAAGATGTTTAGGTCTTTATTTTAATACTTGGTGAGTTATGGGCAAAAAAAGGTGTGCACCCTCATTCAATCAATTTTTCACTAAAATATGTACGTATCTTATCCGTTTAGATTAAAACACAAGATTTAGAAGATGGTTTAGGGAGCTTTGACACTCAACCACATGTAAACTCACAACCAAAACACACACAGTTTCCACCTCTATCAGTATATTGACCTCTGACCTGTTGTCTTAATCTGTTCTTTTACTATGAGTTAGGGCTATCTTTCTTTTAAACACTAGATACCATTAGTTCTATCAGAAGAATACCACACCGGGCCACTGCCATGTCTTCTATTTACAAAAGGAAATCTTATGGAAGGCTTCACATGTGTCCAAGTAAAGGAAAAGGTTGATAAAGTTCTTTCTTGTGGTGATTACTTATCAAGAAGCAATGGAGTAAATTAATAATTCTTACAATAACAACCACCATAATATAAGAAATTTTTTTTGTAAAATACATGGCATATGGTTAATGGCTTTGTAGGTCAGAAAAGCCAAATGAAGATCAATAGTTAAGGACACCACGATGGTTCAGAAATATTACATTTTTATAGAGCTAAAAAATGTTGCCATCGTTTTTATACAATTTGTGAGGAAATTATTAATTTTTCATTTCAAGCTTTTCTGTTGGTTTTATAGAACAAAAAACTATTTGTGACCACATTGATATCACCTTTCCATTTCATATCGTGTTGTGGCACTTTATCTCAGTAGGTGGCAGTATTTAGCCTTGATGTAAGGTCGCTGCTCTAACTCATCAAGCAAAGCGGTGCTAAAAAAAAAAAACCCTAGTGTGATCATTGAAAAATTACTTTGAGGTACGTAGGTATGTACCCTGTGCAATTTTTCCTTCTTCGTAGTAGTTTATTATTAACTTTTTTCCTGTGTAATCTGTTCAGTATTTCAGTATATCCCCTGTAGTTATCAGATTTGTTCAATTCTATTAAATTAATAAGCATTGACCTCCAAAATATAATATTGGATGTGTCTATAGTTCAGAGTGAGTAGAAATGTTGTTGTATATATATATATATATATATATATATATATATATATATATATATATATATATATATATATATATATATATATATATATATTTATTTAGAATTTAGAATTAAATGCGAGAACAGAACTTGGGTTCTCTGGGTTCCCAGTAAAAGGAACATGGAATCACATTGGCAGCCAGCACACAAAGTGTGCTATACTATCACTAGCTGGGTGTAATCCAATTTCAGTTATTTAGCAAGAAGTGGAATTTGAAATGTCCATAAACTCTAACTGATTTGCAGCATGCGTATCCTAACGTTTTGCAGCAAACACTCCTGTCCTGTGAGGACGCTCGGCTGCAGCCAAATGTCGTCAAAAAGTGAATAAGGGAGCGTATAAGGCCTCAGCGGCCTCTTACTACTCTGCAAAAAATCAATGTTAAAAATTTGATTTTGCATTTCAACTTTTGGACGTTTCAGGACAAAGTTAATATGTGGAAAAATCTGGATTGATGGAGGAGAATTTGTCAAGCTTTCATATTCTAATTGCAGTAATTATAATAGCTTTATTTAATGTAGATGTACTCAATGGTCTGTACTAATGAATAGTTTTAGTGTCAAATATATGTTGTCTGCTACAGGTGCTTCATACAGCAATAGTAATCATAATTTTCACATTTCTTAAAGTGCTTATATTTTCTAATTGTACCTCAATTCAGCCTCAATTTATTTTTCAATCAAGGTTCTATAGATCTTTAAATACTTCCATATTCAACTTACACGGATGCAGGCACACAGATGCACACATACAAAATGAAGTGTGCATCTGTGCGCCTCCTCACTTCCCAGTCTCCCAGCCGGGCCTATTGTGAAACATCCCAGTGGGTGAGTTCAGAAGCATGTATCCCACGGCTCACGGGCGGCTCAACGCTCGCCAGAAGGCCGTTGCACCCTGCCGGTAGTCCAACATGCGTCATTCAGGGAAAGGGTGGAGCATGACAGGTGAACAAAACAGGGAATTGGTCCAGATAGCAGAAGAGGAGATAAAAGACCAGAGCAGATAGATGGACGGATAGATCATTTGGATGGATGGATGGATGTGGAATTGGGTGGGGACTTTTCCCACGTGGATAAAGATGGACCGACCACCAGTAGGATCCAACAGCGGAACTAACCGAGAATGTCAATCCCACCGCGGAGACTATCAACACAATTTACTGGCTGAGAGAGAGAACGAGGGAGAAGGGGATGAACCGACGGCCTTTCCCTTTTCATCAGTGATATGGTAACCCGAGAACAGACAGCAGGTTACTTACTTAAGACAAACCTGTGACTCCAGCACAAGCACTGAGCACTGGAGCTTGTCTAACATTCTGCCTGTGTTTTTATGTTTTTCCCTGTGAAAGCAGAGGCCAGCTTGCCTGTAATCCCTCAATCACACATTCCGAAACACTCGTAGAGACGCACACACACACACACACACACACACACACACACCTAGACACATAACACACATGTGCACACACACACGTACACACAAATATATATGTATATACACTCACACACACATGCATGTATAAACACACACCACCTCCACGACCCTGGCCGGCCAGAGGCTAACTCGTAAACAGATCAGGCCACACGACGGGTGTTTATCCCTCACAGCGAGAGCGACGGACGCACATAATATGGTCCGTGCATGTAGGTGTGAGTTTGTCGAGCACTTTAACTCGTTAGTTTTACTCCCTCTGGGCTGTTTGTTGTTTTTAGTGAGAGATACTGACACGGACCTCACAATGTAATCTCAGTGATACGAAGCTGGTCTCACTTTCAGGATCAGTATATTAGATGAAGTAGCAAAATCTAAACATTTATCATAACAAATTAAATGTCAAAATCAAACCAAAACCTCAACGGAGGTGACTGACATCTTTTAACTGACATTTTTCCACCACTTTCTGGTGTAATGCTGTACTACTGTAACAATCAGCAGTCCACAGGAGTTTACATTCATTGAGTTTCCAGGTCAAGTGGGGATTAAGGCTGATCTACAGGCTGATCAGAGCTACTAAAACGATAGGGGTCAAGAGAGACAGATCTAAGGGTGAACAATAATAGAGGCCTCATTTACCCCTCGCTTCACCAAGAAGTATTGCACAAGGTATCGATCTCCGCATTGAGAGTTTCGCATTTAGACCGATCAGCAGCATAAACAAAGCCTGTCTTACTTCACAGCCGTGTAATTCAGGCTGATTTACAAGCCGAGTTGCACAAGCAGTGAAGTATGACTTTACTTCCATTAGCTACGATGCAGCAGAGTCTGCCAGGACGGGGCCATTCATCTACATTATAATGTCATGATGAGATTGCTTCAACGGTCATTGAAAAAACAGGCTCTCCATCCAACTCCCAACGTGGCCATGAGTCTGTCCAATCCGTTGTGTCACTGCTGGACACTGTCAAGGAGACTATTGTATTGTTCTTTTATTTTAATAAAAAAGTTTTAGTCATGCAATTGTCTCGTTCCTGCTCATGTGTATCTTCCAGTTCCATTTATTCTGGATTTATTTCTTTGTATGTACTGTGTAGAGCACACATTTATCTTGAAAAGATATTTTGGAAATTGCATGAAAAACATTCCATCACAAATACCGAGAAAAAATTCCACTAAAAACACGGTGTTTCCAAATGAAGTGAATAAATCCACACAGGTGGACACAAAGATGGCCACTACTTTCTCAATACGCCGCATGCGTATATGTGTGTGCCCATTAGCATAATGAGGAATCTGGCATTAAGTAAGGGTACATTTGTATTATCTGGACCATAAACACAGCCCTTAACTCCATTCTGTTGTTTCTCTGGGGGGCCGTTTACACAGTGAGACCGGTGCAGCCTGAGTAGGAACCCGCTGAGGGGAGGAGATGGCTATCGTGAGCCACAGGGCAGGAGGGGGGACCGCTTTTATCGCTGCACGCGCTGTAATGGGGTCTTCCTGTGAGGGAGCCTGAGGGGTTTCTCTTGACGGAGCCTTTTTCTTTTGCCGTGCTGTGTGTGTTCCGTGATCAGAGAAAGTCACAGTGGACCATTAAGCCTCCGCACGCACGCATACTAGCGCACATCTGGATATGCTTCCCGTCGAGCAGTCATACCTACACACGGCCTGGCAGCCCATCTGACCTTTCGATACTACCCAAGCACATTTAGATAAATCCAGTGAGACTGGGCCGTACCACCACCAATGAGTGACTGCTTCATGTACAAACACACACACACACACACACACACACACACACTTGCTCATGTCATGTCAAACTTACTTGCAGCCATTACATGCATGTTTCCCATAGATGATACATCTGTGCTCTCTCGTTTCTGGAATCTGCAGATTATCAGAAAAATATTAAGCACGCTATCTCTCTCCAGCTTCACTCAGCTGAAACAGCCTTTTAGCATTTTGATGTTAAAGTTTGGTCGATCATAAAGACTTTACATCTGTGTTTAGGAGAGTCCGCGAGGCCTGCAGGTGTACCTGAACGATGTATGAGTTAACTCTGCACAGGTGAGTCACACTGTCACGGTGTGGTTCACTTCCTGTTGTATTTTGT